TCCATCATTTTTGTCTTGCCTTGAGGGAGTCAAAAAGCGAGACATAGGTATGCTGTTTCAGGTGATGGTGGTTTCAACAATTTATTAGTTTGTGATAAGGTCAGTTTATGGGGAACCACTATTGGTAGGTCAATGATATTTGGTATGCAGTTGTATTAGCATTGGTTCGTCTCATTTCCATGGCGATTATATGGCCCTGCCCCCTCAGTCATGGTTTATTGACTCTGAAACTTTTGATTAGTTACATGTATTAGTTTAGGATTAGGTCTGTTTATGGGGAACCATTAGTGGTGGGTCAATGATATTTGGTATGCAGTTGAATTAGCATTGACACATCTCATGTCCATGGAGATTGTTTGGCCCTGTACCTTTAGTCATGGTTCATTGACTTTGAATATTTTGCATAACTTACATGTTAAAGTATTGCTATTCTAATTTCAACATTTGCATTTTACTATCAAAATAACAAAAAGGCAAGACATATCTCTGTGTTAACAGTTTATTTTTTGTTTGATTGCTTTTTCATTAATGTTTCTCCTAAATATTTTATCAGATTTAATTTGACATAAAAATTAGCATATGTCAATGATTATTTAACATTATAGAAAAAATTTACCTTACCAAATGGTTTTGCTATTTCATCATGAAAATACTGAGACAATGATCTTCTTTTAGGGTCAGCATGTCTAACTATCTGATCAAGATAGAGGGCAAAGGTTACAGGATGATATCCATGGTTTGTTCCTGGCTTCCATAATGGTTTCTGATTGGCTAAGATATGACCTAATTTGACTGGATCTTTTAGTATCAATGCCATGGGAAACTTTTCATTGGTGGCTGATAAACCTGCCTATGAAGAAAATAAACAACAATGTAATCATAAGATAACTTAACAAGTAAGGGTGTATTTGTTACATTTTGGGTAATCATTTAGCTGTTTATAAATTAGGTTTACAATCACACTGCTAAATTCTTTGTGGGGAAATGAAACAAAAAGAGGAGGATTGAAATGGAAATGAAAACAGAAAAGCTATAAAACTTTGTCTAAATTTAATGACATAATAATCTTGTGAACAAACATTCCAAATCTGGAAAATTGTGAGAAGGATAAACTTCAAAACAGGAACAAACAGTATAAGAGATTTATTTCCTTACTTAAGTCAACAAGCATATATCAGGCTGGGTTTTTGTTTTTGTTTGAATTGTTTTACATTTTGTCATGCCTGGGCCCTTTATAGCTGACTATAAGGTCTGTTGAAGGCTGTAGATTGAGTACAGTGATCTTCAGTTGAATACATCTAGCCTTTAATCTCTAAAGGATAGTTGTCTCATTGGCTATCATACTGCATCTTCTTATTTCTATATAAAAACACCAACACTGTCATACTTGAACCTTAAAATTTTCCATTTGATTAAAACTTAAAACTTATATTGAAGCATATATTTTGGATGAAAATATCTAATTTTATTTTCAAAATTCCAGCTGGTGCTCTTTACAAACTAAACTTTCATTGCAATTTTGACTATGATGTCATGGAACAACTTTTTGTCAAGTCTTTGTTTTTTAATTTTAAAATTGTTTTACCCATACATTGATTTTGATGAAATTTAGATTTTTTTTTTACATTTATTGTTTATATTGTCCTCTCTTTATTTTTTTTCTTCCCATACTTCGATTTTGTAACGGTATTGTTTTTAAAAGATACTTCGAAGATATCATACATACAATTTTTCCTATTGACCAATGCAATTTCTGTGCTTGGTGACATATGTTAATGTAAATGTAATTAAACTACATACTATAATTTTTACAGTCTTACTCGATTAGAAAGGTACATTTCTAGAGTTACATCTTCTTTTCCATTGTTAGCAAATTCCGGCCAGTATTTACACACTTTTTCACTGAAGCTTAGTAATCCTCTACAAAAGACAAATTTGAAATTTGATAACATTCAGTGTGTGTTGGTGTGTGTGTATGTATGTATGGGTACATGTGTATGTATTTGGTTTGGGTGAGGGTTTGTTTGTGTGGGAGGTGGGTGAGAGAAAGGGAGACATTTTTCTTTGGTTTACTTGAAAATGTTCATAAAGAAGAGATTTGTGAATTATGTATATTTGAAGTTTTTTAAAAGGCATTTCATATGTTACTGACATTGTTGCTAAACTTGCATGTAACTACAATTTTGTTGTAATAAAATCCCTTTGCTGTACTTTCATATAAAATATTTCATACCTATCCACCATATGTGCTATAACAACAGCTGATGCACTTTTAGTTGTAGAATATACACATGCCATTGTGTCTTCCTTCCATAATCGTTTAGCTTTTTGGTCAGCATATCCTCCCCAAAGGTTCACCACTAATTCTTCCTTGTAATAAGCAGCAAAGGTTCCTCCAATTTCTGTCTGGGTCTCAAGATTTGATCTTTAAAAAATTAAATATCACAAATTCAACAAAATGTTCCTTACCTACAATGCTTAGAAAACGTCTAATAAAATCAGATGATGTTTTGTAACTTATATACTAGTATTGAAATCTGACATAGAAACTGGTAATTTTTACCATAGGACACTGCACACCTGAGCATAACCTAAAATTCCCTCATAATTGAAATGACTGTTTATATTATATTCAGATGCATACTTTATTATGTGTAGTAAAAACCCTTCTTCGTTCATTCAGACCATTTATAGAAATACAGTATATCATTATAATTTCAACATTGATGTTAGTCTTTTAAGTTTTACCTGAAAACATCTTTTACTTTTTCAAATCCTGGTTTAACAAATCCATCTAAATGAACTGGTTGTCTAGGTTTTGACATCTTTTCCTTCTTCTGTAAAATCTTTAAAATAATTCGCCTTATGACGATCATTCAATCTGTAAAAAAGACTAACGTAAGATAAGTCTAATTCCACATTCTAACCTTTTCTCTTTACTGTTATAAATAGCAGAGATGTTTACTTTATAGAATGATCATGTATTGATTTTCATAACTCCAGTTTGACCTAAAACAGTGTTGTTTTGTTGTATAGGAATAAGAAAGTCCATATCCTTTTTCAAATGTTAATTTGCAAAATTTTAACATCACAAAAATTCTTGCTAATACATAAAGCAATACTGGTCCATTAAACTATTTTGGTTTACTAGACAACCTATATAGGTGGTCTACAATATCTGTTCATTTGTTTTTAATTCAGGTCATTTTGTAATTTAAACAAATCTGGAATTATCAGACAACCCATCAAATTAGGAATAGATTCAGAAATGAGTTACTATATAAATACCTCAAAAGAACCATATTTTCCAGTGTAAAGTTTTTTTCAGCTCTTTAATTTCAAAATAACACATATTACAAAAGAGGCAGCAACTTTTTCAAAAGATGAAGAATCTAAAGCTTTAACATTACGAAATTTCAAGTTGACAAAAAGTTTTCAAAATTGCCATTTTTAGAGGTGATTAACTTAATAGATTTAAATAAAAATATATAAGTTAAGGAAAAACTCTTTTGATTTAAAAAAAATTATCATATTAAGTTAAGAGACTCAACTACATAATAAAAAAAAAAGTTTAACACTTTGAAAATTTCCTTCATTTGCATATAAATAATTACTCATTTGGGGGAACTTAATGAACCCCCATTTGGTGGACTGTTCCCAAGCTGAATTAAGCTTTTAAAAATGACTGAATACAGAAAGTTGTAGTATGGGAGTTTTTGCTTGATCATTTTCAATTTGAAACTCAACATTTTTTTCATCAAAATATGAAAATAACATTAAAATTTTTATAAACAGGTATAATGATACACTTACCAGCTGAGTTTTGAGGTTAAAATCTGGGACATGTTATCACAATCATGTTGAGATAAGATTCAAGTTTGAACAATAATGAATATTAATGTACACACTTCAATGTACTGATATTGAGTATCTTTTATATGAAGACACTTCATTCACTTTATTCTTTCTTATACTTTCTAAATTGTTTTCTCATTATTGAAATATTTCCTCTTCCTCTTTCTTGGATATGATAAAAACATTAAATTATCTCCCATTCTTTGAGATAAACCAGGTTGAATTACTTCCCTTTATTAAAAATGTAGCTGTTATTTTTTAAATCCCTCTCTGAAACTAAGTAAATCAACAGCATATTTTCAATTAAATTTTGAAATATCATATCTTGAGCCACAAACTTTGAATACAAATTAATAGACAGAAATGTCAAATAACCATCTTATAATATATTATTAGTCATCATTTGTGCAAAATTCCAAATAATGTAACACAAAAAAAGTTCTGACAAAACTATTGCTAAAAAATATCCTCAGAGGATCATCTCCCTCTTTGGGTGGTTTAAAAAGTCGACCACTATAATGAAAACTGAGGAGATCTGGTTTTTTTATTTGGCTGGTTTCATGGTTTCAGATCAAATGATTCTTAAATCAGTCATTTGGTGTCAAGTATTGATAAAACCTGTTATATTGGATTGATTGATTATTTGTTGGCATTTAATGCCACTTTCAGCACTCTTGGCTATTTTATGACAGCCAGTTTGTATTGATGGAGGAAGTTCTGGTAAAATCTGTAACATTGGAAGTCTGATCAGCACCACTTTAAACTTTATATACATTGACAAACTTTCTGTCACTACTGTTATATTTTGAATCAATTTAAACCTTGCTCATTCCAATAATGATTTCTGAAATGCTTCCAGCAATGTGGATTATATGGAATACCCACTCAACAAGATATAAGATATGTTTTTTATGTCCATCTATACAAAATAGCATTTAAAAAAAGATTTGCAGAATGGTTGTAACATATAACAAATAATATTTTAAATGGATAGAAACTCGACAATATATTGCTCGGTACATGTCTTTTTTAACATTTTGTTGTGTTGTTGGGTTGCTGTCATGTCAATATTGTTGGGTTGCTGTTTCACCAATGTATACTCCACTTCTCCATTTCATCATATTCATTAACAGACAAAAAAATCACAAGTTTTAAACATCTTTATTTTTGTTCTCTGGTTCAAATAAGACATATCAAAATGAATGTAAATAGTATAACTGTAATATATTCATTAAGATAAAATAAACATTTAAACCTAATTAATATTTTTCAAAGAAACTATTCAAATGAAAATCATCCTACAAAATCTCGTTGGATTTGTTGGGTTCTAATGGACTGTACAACGTCACTTTTTTTTTACTTTGAAAGTTGATTAACAATGTCTATCCTTGATATATTCAAATTGAGATCTCATATTTTCCTTCTTCATTTCTGGCAGATATTATTTTCCTGATAAAATTAGCTGAATTCTACACTAACATGTGATGAAGAAATGATACAAAGCAAAATGTGTGTGTGTGTGGGGGGAGGGGGGGGGGGGAGGAATAGAAAAAAATGCTGAATATGCCATTGTTCTTGAAACTTCCTGAGACACTCTTCTGGTTATAACAAGCTGACATTGGTTCCTTTAATTTTTAGCAAATTTACAGAAACTAATGCCAAGTAAATTAGGTTTATCAAACTACAATAATTGTAACATCTATCGTAAAACTTAAATATAAGTTATAAGGCCACAACCATTTTTTTTTACATGATTTTACAAACTAACAAACTAATAATGTTCATCATTTACAAAGCAAATTGTAAAAATAATCTCACTCATTTCAAAACTTCAAAATAAAAAGAAAAACAAAGATAGCACAGCAAATAGTCTCTGATATTGCACTTTAAAGACAAAAGGAAAAATATAAGAACAAACAGACGTATTATCAAAATACAAAATATCTACAATTAGATAATCCTTTATTCTAAAGGTACTAAAAATGTATGTGTTATTTTTTTCAAAGTAATTGAAGAAATGTATTCTGAATTAAGTACTGGTATATTACATATTTATAATAATTTCCTGTTGAAAAGGGGAAACGTAACAGACCAAGCACAAGAAATTAATGTTGTATGATTTACATGTTATTGCCTACAAATAATAACAGGAACATATTTTGTATGGCAAAAGCTTTGTAATTTACACATAATATTTTAATGATTTCGGTGATCACTGGTTTCATTACAATTTATTTTGTTCATTTATGCTGCTTCATACATTTTAAATGCTGCCTTTTGAAATTCATATATTTACAAACTTAACAAATACAAAAAATGTCATCTGAATGAATTTTTAAGTTTCCAGTATCCAATGCCATCCACTTTTTCAAAGTCACAAATAGATTTCAACATAGATTTAAATTTTGCTGTTTCAGCAGGAGGTAATCTTGGTCCAAATTCATCTAAAATTTCCTGAGTCATTGCCTTACACATAGAATGACATTCAAACATTATAAAATTTCTGATTTCTGTTATAAGTTTGAATGAATCATCATCTACTATTGGAGTCGATGAATCATCGTCTTGTTGGTTTACTTCATCATTTTCAGCACCAGTAGAAGTAGTAGCAGTTGTATTACCACTAACTACATTTCTCCTTCTCATTCGGGTTAAAAGTTCATCAGAAGTCATAACCTCAGGAGCTGAGGATCCAGTATCTGTATTAATCACAACACTTCCTGCTTTGGTACCATCAAAGAGACTCTTTTCACCAGAAAATTCACCCTTTTCAATCTTCTTCATTTTTTGTACATCAGATGATGTAGTTTGTACAACAGTTTCAAGTAACTGGGTATTTTTCTTCTGTCCAAATCTTGGTCTGAAAAAAAACATGACAATTTCAATGATTAAAAGAGATATAAAAAGGTCTGTATTAATATATATTTGTTTCAAACAATAAAAAAATGCCAAAACCATAAAATAATAATTATAATACATGTCCTTTTGTCAAATTTAATTTATATCTATACCATCATGACCTATTTCTATGGAAAAATTTTAATTTACTGGATACTTTTTCATTTTACTAAAAAGTTTATACACATTTTGTTTGTATGTTTAGTTTCCCCATAATATTTTCAACTAGTAAGTCTCTTGCAAGAAACACAAGTTGTTTGAAATTTTCTGGAGAAATTGTATAACTTGGACAATAAACTTACTTTTTAGCCATAGTACCATGTTGACCTGTCCAGTTTGGTACACCAGACATTGCTCCTAGACACTGTGACCTTGACCTTTTTAGAGCTTTGACAGCCTCCGTTGCAACCCTATCAGCCTCTGCCTCAACTATCATATAATCATGTTTACTAGGGTCCATAATCACATCATGTTTCAAAGCACCTTGTATACCTGAAAAATATATTTTTAGGTAAATCAACTGAATTTCTCCTACATTTTCTAGAACTAAAATACATATAGCTATTCAAATAATCAAGAAAATTGATGAGGAAGGATTTAAGTCTTCATAAACTAGTTTAACCTGCTACATGCACATGTTTCCTTTCCAAATATAGAAACTTGCAGAGTTTCTTAATGTTGTGTTTTTTTGTTTATCAAGAAATTTGATGTCCATCAGCAGTTGTCTTGGTGATTTAGAGATCGATATATAGTAAGAATACTTTTCTATCATTGAAGATCATGTCTTGATGTCATTTTTTCTTTACTGTTGCTAGGTTTCTGTCTTTCATTCCTTCTTATAATATGTATTCTTCAATTTCATTTTAAACCAAAGCTAAAACATTTAAAAATAAATGTGGATAGTGTCCACATGTGGACACAGATGATGCCCCCACTTGCATATGATATAGTTAAAAAGGGACATAACTGAAGAACAATAAAAGTGATGCTATCCAAATTTGAACTTGGTCTGAGTTTTGTGGTAATAAGCATTGTGTGTAAGTCTCATAACATTTGGTTGAGGCTAACTTAAGTAGAGAACAGAAACTAAAAATTCAGCAATTTTTATATTTGTAAACACGCATAACTCTAGAACAGTTGTGTAGAAGTTTTATAACATTTGGTTGAGACAAACTAAAAAATTCAGCAATTTTTATGTTTATAAAGGGACATAACTCAAGAATGGTAAAAGTGTCACCACCAAATTTCATACTTTATCTGTATTATGTAGTAATAAGCATTGTGTATAAGTTTCATAACATTTGGTTGAGGCAAACTAAAGTTAGAAAACAGAAACAATAAATTTGTACTTGATCTTAGTTTTGTGGTAATGAATATTGTGCATAGGTTTCATAATGTTTGGTTGGGGCAAACTTAAGTTACAGAATGGAAACTAAAAATTTTGCAATCTTTCGATTTATAAAGGGGAATAACTCAATAATGGTTAAAGTGACACTACCCAAATTCAACTCGATCTGTGTTTTATCAGTGGAAGTCAAAATTAAACATTGCATTGTATAAAGCATTGATTGTAGTTGATTCAACTATAATCATGGACAAAGGAAGATAACTCCAATTTTAAAAAAATACTTGATATTTAGAGGAAAATAAAAATTTTGCAATTTTTCCATTTATAAAGGGGCATAACTCTAGAACGGTTAAAGTGACGCCACCAAAATTCAAACTTGATCTGTGTTTTGTGGTAATAAGCAGTTTCATAATATTTGGTTGAGGCAAACTTAAGTTAGAGAACAGAAACAAAACATTTTTGCAATTTTTCCATTTATAAAGGGGCATAACTCTAGAACGGTTAAAGTGAAGCTTCCAAAATTCAAACTTGATCTGTGTTTTGTGGTAATAAGCATAGTGTATAAGTTTTATAACATTTGGTTGAGGCAAACTTAAGTTAGAGAACGGAAACTAAAAATTTTGCAATTTTTCCATTTATAAAGGGGCATAACTCTAGAACGGTTAAAGTGATGCCACAAAAATTCAAAATTGATCTGTCTTTTGTGGTAATAAGCATTGTGTATAAGTTTCATAACATTTGGTTGAGGCAAACTCAAGTTAGAGAACGGAAACCAATTTCGGGACGTACGGACGTACGTACGTACGTACAGACGGACAAGGGTAAAACTTAATGCCCCCACCGCTACAGCGGGGGCATAAAAAAATCAAATTGATGATTCTACATTTTCTAAGTTCACACATTAGTAGTTTGTTGTGATTTTTTATATAACGTTTATGTATTCTTATAAATATTCATAACCTTGTAATATTTGTTTTCTGTTTTTGGTCACATAACATTTAATTCTAAAACTTGTTTTTTATTACAAAATACTAGAGGAACCTAAATCTCTTACCATTTTTCTTGAAGAGTTTCTGAAGGACATAATCATCCTGGGCAGCATGCTCTTTCTCTCTATCTATTTCCTCCTCCTCATCAGCTGCTGGTGTGTAAGTGTCACTTTTAACTAGGTTAGGAATCCTCTCTCCTTCACACTCTGTAATTAATTACAAAAAATCAAGTTACATTAACATGCTCGTTCTAATTCTAAGCATGTTAATCAACACAATTACTTCGATAAGAAAACATATACTTTCTTGCATTTCTAAATTAAACATTTCTAGACACATAATTGCTCATAATTTAAAGTGAGTATTACCACATTTTCAACTGTTACATGAAAAGCCTTAGTGTATTTTTCCTTCACACTAGTGTCTGTCATATATAAAACCCTAGGGAAATCTATAATGGATTTTTAATGTATTACATTCAAAGAGAAAGATTATATTACTAGAGAAGAATAACTGATACACATATACATGTAAACTGTACACATACTTGCATCCTTTCGTCTCCTCTTCTTATCTTTCCTGTGTCTGTCCTTTCCATTTTCAGAGGAATGTTTACTTTCCTTATGAGATGAATGTCTGTGTTTATGAGGACTGTTAGAGAGACTATGCTTATGCTTTCCATGGGATTGACTATGTTTATGCTGTCCATGAGACTCACTATGTTTATGTTCTCCATGAGACACCTTGTGTTTACCTTCTGCGTTGGAATGACTATGTGTACGTCCTCTATGGGATTTATGATGACCAACACTGGAAGAAGAGTGTTTATGTTGCCTTTCACTAGTGGAGAATGAATGTGTTTGCAAATCACTTTGTTTACCAGCTATTAACATTTCCTTTAGCATGCTGGTTGTTTTACTTCCAACTGATAAAGAAGTTTTTGAAGTACTTGGTTGTTCATCATCACAAACAATTCCTGAGTGTTTTGGTGACAGATCAATAGTTTGTTTAGATTCACTACATTCCTCCCCACAATCAACAACATTGTTCTTTATATCGTCTAGATTTTCTTTAATCAAAACAGACCCATTTGAATTTTCTTCAGATTTTTCTTCACCTATACTATTTTGATCTGTCGTTTCATTAGGCTTTTTAAACATTCCAGTCATAATTTGTTGACTGAGCCTCTTAGCTATCTCTTTCATTCTATTTACCTCATCTTCATTGAAATTTTTCTTCACATCATCCATATCATCTTCATCCTTTGCAGTTTCTTTACTTTCACTTTCTTTTTGTGCTTTCTGTCTTTCTTTCATGAGGTCAAATCTGTTGAGTTTGTGTTGTTTAACTCTCCTTCTTACATCAGCTTTGCTTACCTCTGATCCAGTACCTGCAAACAGGGCACCAGTCTCGGTTCCTTCCTTACAATCAACATTCAAATCAAACAACTCATACAAGTCATTTGCTTTGAAGAATCTTCTTTGTTTGGGATCTTTTAAGACTCGATTGGTTAGAAACTGTTTGAAGATTTGTCTGAAAGTACAGGTAAATGATATCAAAATGTTATCACATACTCATAATTCAACACAATCTTGGAATATTTTTTTTTGAGAAAACAAAGAAATCTACCTAAAATTTTGCATGATATAAGTACTATAAATATATTTTTCATCATCTATAAAATGTTGTGGAGTATGTTGTCAACTAGAGCTGAGTCATCCAATTCCAAACATAAAACAAAACCTACAGGCTACATAAAAGAGGCTGTTAGTTTTCTCTTTGTATTGTTTTACATTTGTTATTTCAGGACCTTTTATAGCTTACGGTGTGGTAAAGGTTCTGCTCATTGTTGAATGCAATACAGTGACCTATAGTTTCTTACTTCTACGTCATTTGGTATCTGGTTGAGAGTTGTCTCATTGGCAATCCTACCACATCTTCTTATTTTTATATTTAATCTTGTTTAGTTTGAAACTACAGAATACATGATCACACAAATTTTCCATAAATTATGCAAAATAGTATACAGGCACAACAAAAGTTTCATATTACATTGAAAATAACTACTTATTGTAGCAACAGACTATGATAACATTTTACCTGTGGTATATTTTCTCCTCTATGGTCCCTGTAGTAACCAGTCTATAGACAGTCACCTGTCTAGTCTGACCTATCCTCCAAGTTCTCTCCCTTGCCTGAGTATCAGTACTGGGGTTCCAATCGGGGTCAAAGATGATGACTCTGTTAGCGCCTGTCAAGTTTACACCAAGGCCACCAACTCTGGTTGTCAGCAAGAATAAGAATATGGAGTCATCCTAAAATAAATTAATGTAAAAATAATAATACATGTAGCATATTATATCCTTAAACGAAATCTACAGATTTTCTCTGGAAGTTAACACTCATTTTTAATGATAAACATCTGCCTTTTTACACTGACCAAGAAAGAAATTAACAAGTTTAATGTTGGATTGAAAAAAAAGAAAAAAAAAGGAATTAAAGTATGTCAATATATTTTTTATATTTATAACATATATTATTATACCTTACATATGTTTCAAACAATTCTATTGGGTAAAACGTTATCACGTGACATGGAATAATTCAGTTAATTTTCATTCAATTGCAAGAAGAACGAATAACCCTAAAAATGTACACCAGCGTTGAATAACCCTATTATTCACCGGCGAATAACCTTTTTAGTTTGTTGATTTGTACTCATGAAAATGACGTCACAGACATAAATAAACAAAATGGCAACATTCAAGTTACAGGAAGCCCATTGATCGAGAGAAGAGGAAATAAGGCTTTTGACATGCATCTTGTGCCGATGATATCTCTAATAAAGGTCCTTTTCAGAGCCATCAATATTTTACAAAAAGAATCTACCTTTGTTGTACATACGAGAATTCTAAGACACAAATTACATGTATTTTTGAACGTCGACTTGTGTTTGTTACTGACTCAAGTAAGGGTAAGTGCTTTTACAATGATTCAAAATGCCCTTCCACTGTTAGTTCGGTATAATAAAACAATTGTGGCCCCTTAGAAGCGATGAATATCCAAAATTGTCAACCCTTAAAAGTTATTTCACTTTGGGCTGCGCCCTCAGTGAAATAACCTTCTCGTGTTGACAATTTTGGATATTCACCTTTTCAACGGGCCATAATTGTATATTATGGTAAATTCTGATCCATCAAATATCACTGAAATGCAATGACTATGAGATCAACCCAGGAAGTAATGGTGATATAAAGCAGAATACCTTGTTGAACTGGTTTACAAGTGGCTGTCTGGTAGATATAGGCGTTGAACCATCCATTCTTAGGTAACTGTATTTTGGTTTGGCTACAAATCTTTCTAAGATGTCTAACATCTGTTAAATATTGAAATAAACATGATTAACTGTAAAATTCTAATTCATGTCAACATAACTCAGGTACTGTGTGTTTAATTGTTTGTTAAAAGTATGTGGCTGTAGTACAAGACACCTTACTGTTCAGAATCCTTTTTTTTAATGCCACTGTTATCCTTAAGCTCTTTCTCTGGAAAATTTGTGCAGTTTGATATTTTTTTTCTTTGTTAAACACTTGTACTTTCCAATATAAAATTCTGGAAGGTTATAAAATACTCACAACAGTACTTTGTGAGAAAAGCAGAACTTTATGACCCTGTTTCTTCCACAGTCTCAATAATGCCTCTACAACAATCATCTTCCCAGATCTTTTGTAGTATCCATATTCTAATGATTCATCATTCCCTGGAGTCTCTCCAATGTATAACTTTGGTCCTCCAGTACATATGTCTGGATGGTTACATATTTTACGTAGTGTGATTAAACCAGAAAAGATCTGAAATGAACAAATAATACAGATTTTCACAGCTGAGAACAATACATCTAGTTTACTATTATTTTCACTTAATTCTCTACCACCTTTAACTGATCCTTGTGAATTTCTAAGCTATCCTTTATCCTCTCTATCATTATTAAAACTTCATTACAATCTTGCTACTTCTACAGTTCCACTTAAATCATAACCTGCAATCTCTTCACAAATATTGGATTTACAACAAATCATTTGCCCTATTTCAATGATTTCCACAGCATCAAGCATACATCTGACTATTCTTTTAATCTTATTTTATGTTGGCTAATATTTTTTTCCCTTATTTATTTGTATACCATTAAACACCATTTACCTGATATTTTTTCCCTTATTTATTTGTATACCCATTAAACACCATTTACCTGATATTTTCCTGACAATATAGACTGACATTCCCTTGACTGTAAATATTCCATATATGTCTCTCTCTGTTCCTGTGTCAATCTACAGAATAGCACCTGAAATGGAACATCCATCATGTTTATACAAATTTTCTTTGATTTGTATAATAGAACATAAATGAATGGTCCATATGTTTTGTTGGCCTATTTTTTAACTAACCTAAACTAATTTTACTCCATACTTCCTTTTTCATTATTTTTTTAATAAGGATCACACAAAAACGCTGTTATAAGCCTACTCATTTTAACTGCATAGGTTAACACTAATAGTATATTTTTAATAGATAAAATTGTTATACCTGTTCATTTTTACTGGGCAGATTAATCTTGAGGTCAGCTTTCATTCTCCTGATCATGTAAGGATTAATAGTATCTCTCAGTACACAGGCACATTTATAAGCAGTTTGAACCTATAATATAGTTTAAAAGTTTACTAGGATCTGATTTGATTTGATATTGCAAAAAGGGTTCAATTATAAAATACTCAACTGTGTCATCATATACCCAATTAACTTTTTTTCCTCAATTCATAAAAGTATTTATTCAATCATTGAATCGTGTTTGACAATTCATTGTTAAATATCGTAATACTGAAATAATTTTCAGAACATGTTATTTTTTTCTGATACAAACACACAAATCGCAAATTATAGTTATAATTTATGTAAATAATAATATTTACCTGCTGTTGTGAAGCATTTGAATATCCACCTTGAACAATAGGGACAGCAAAGTGGGCCATGAAATCAGGCAAAGTACCAAGTTTTCCAGGAAAGATAAAATCGAACAGGGACCATAACTCTTTAAGATTATTCTGGATAGGGGATCCAGAGAGGATTATTCTGTGGGGTGATTTAATCTGAAATAGAGAAGAATTTGCATATTTTACCTGAAGTTTCAAATAACTTAATAATAAAATATTTTGGTCTAGATGAGAAATACTCTGCAAAAATAAATCCTAATTACCAGAAAGTGAGTAAGATAGAAGTAAGTGGTTCAAATCAAAATGGATCCACTATTCTGTTTAGTCATTAGTGAACAAATATATTTCTATGTATACTTTCTGTCTTTGGTTGCTGCCTCATTGAATAATAACCTGACATTTGTGTACATTTTAGTCAAGCATTCATGAGTTCAAGTAGTTTTTTCAAAGTTATTTCTTCAAGATAATGTTTGAGCAGAACATAAGATAACTGGATTAACCATATTTGGTTTCCATTTCAGCCAAACATAAGTTGGACAAAATTGAAATTTGTAGGTCAAGATTTGAAAATTTTTTGAAATCCCTGCTCTAGATTGACTTATAATGTATCCTGACTAACCTGTTTTACAGCCAGTGTAGCCTGTGCATCCGGATTCCTGATCTTATGTCCCTCATCCAGAATGATATAATGCCAGTTATATGATATGATTAACTCCTGGTGAATTACCAAAGTACTGTAGGATGTAACCAGTACACCGTTCTCTTTCACAATAGTCCTAATTAGTTCTGCCTGTAGATAGATATCATACAATTATACATGATATGTAGTCTTAATTCAGAAATCAATGCATGCATTCAATTATTGCGCAACACAGAATACTGGCAAAAATTTGAGATCTTATTAATGCGATTACAAAAATTTTGTGAAAGAAAATCACTACTGAAATTATGAGTGCAAGTTTTTATTATTGAGAACCCTATACTATGCATTTTTTGCATTACTGTCTTTAGGTGTGTATAGTACACAGGTTTTTACCCTGGAACGATTTCTGAAAAGGGGGGTGCGTATTATGAATGGCTACACTGTTCTTTGAACATTTTTTCAGGCTGAATTCCAACCTAGAAACCAGGTGGATTGGAGGAAAATATTTTCGTAGCATGCACTTGATTGTTTTTATGTTTTACATGTATATGTATTCAAACAAGGAACACAGAAGGTAAAAGTTTGAAAATTGAATGAAACACCCACATTTGATGATAGCAAACACCATTGTTATTTTTACTATCGTAGTATCAGGTGATCACATGTCATGTGACTTTTAACGGTTGTAAAGTTGAATAAAGTGATGATTTTAAACACATTTTTACTTTGTTAAAAACCTTCATATACAAATCATAATTGCAGACATGTCAATGCCATCTTGTAAACTGTACGAATTTGATTAAGGAACAAAATTGTCAATTGATTTGTTCTGACAATGATTAGACATCCTAATTGATATTCAATAAGAGTGTGATAATACGGATTAAACGATTCAATGAGTACCAACAAACAATAAATAAAAGTAGCAGAGATTAATATTTATTTCAGCACTAATTTATCAACATAAATATTACAATTTATTTATCTATTGTGTATTTAAGAATATTCGTAATGATTTCGTATTCCGTACACGATTCACCGACTGTGATTTGCATTTAAACAACTTCCTGATTTAACACTTCCTGTTGTTCTCAATCAAACACATCCTTGGAAACAATAAAGAATCAAACATCGTTTGCTAAATTATTTATTCTGCAACAATACTTTCATTATCCTGTTATAAACCAGGACTGGAGTTCAATTTGTCTCAGAAAAAGAAAAAGAAATCACTTTTCAAAGGACGTATTTTACGTAGTTTCAAGTTGGGATTATTCCAGAAAGTCCCTGCGTGTTAAGCATAAGAAGAAACTTTTTTCTCAAGTTTCAAGGGAGAAAAAGGGGTGTGTACTATGCATGAGTGTGTTTATACACACCAAAAGACGGTAATAAAAATATCCCCATTATTTCTGAATTTACAGTATATAAAACAAAGTGGTAATGGCTAGTTTATGAAGGACTTTACTTGACCTAAAACTGTCAGTAAATCTTGTCCACATACCTCTTTACAAGTGTAAGATCCTGAGGAATGTAGTATAGCTACTCTAAACAATGGCCACCATTTATGGAATTCTTTGACCCACTGGTGCATGACTGTAGTTGGAGTGACTATAATGGTAGGACCTAGTCCTCTAAACCTGAAATATTATAACATATTGCAAGTGTTATCACATCCAATCCAGCCTAATTAGTCCAAAATAAACAAAGGATTACTGAAAATGTTTGAAGTCGTGTGATAGGATTGATCAAAATATATATTGTAGACATTGGGTAAAAGGAAAGATACACAAGGGAATGCTTTTTTCAATTATGAAGACAGATTTGCACAGCCCCCTCTAATTTGGGCTAGAGAGGAAACTGATACCAATTTTAATTACATATTATCAGTTAAATATCAAAAATCTGGTAACAGGATAAAAATTTACAAGTAAAAAATCAATTAGAGACTGTCATATTGTCAGTTTGAACTATAGAACACCATCAACTCTAAAATTTAGGAATTCTTCATGAATATATAAAAATAATTATATAAGGAGATGTGGTATGACAGACATGAACCAATGACAATCACTGTTCTACAGGCTCCTGACTTGGGACAGGCACATAAAGAATGTGGCGGGGTTAAACATGTTTGTGAGCGCTCAACAATGTTCTTATAGTAGTAACCACAATCCTGTCCTCCTTTATCTCAATTATGACTTATCTTTGAATTTGTATGTACTATGAGCAACATGTGACAGGATTTGCTTACCCTTCTGCAGCACCTGAGATCACCCCCAGTTTCTGGTTGGGAAGTGTAGCTCAGTCTATATTTTTCTATCTTATGTTTTGAGGATTTGTTTGTCTTTCGTTTTTTGATATGCCGTTGTCAGTTTCTCTTTGTCTTATGAGTTTTAAATGTCCCCTTGGAATGTTCTGCCTCTTTTTTTTTACAAATATAGAAGAGATTCAGTACACAAATTAACTTAAAATTCAGAGCTTGTCAGCTTGAAAAACAAGATTCTTGCAAACTCTCATACTTACAAAAAATGTTTGTCCCTGATTTTACTTTGACGTAGACCAGCTAGAAATCCTATTGCTTGTATAGTTTTTCCCAGTCCCATTTCATCTCCAATAATTCCACCAGCTTGTTGACAATGTAACTCCCATAACCACTTTACTCCAACTTTCTGGTATCTGTGTTATCAATTAAATTTTAAAAAAATCTTAAATTAGATGCTTGTGAGAAGCATTTATTGAAGGACACAAAATAAAATATTTCTTTCATGAACAGGCATTTGTCAATTACGTCTATACAGCTAACTTTCAAATTGTGAAGCTTTGTTTCTTTCAATTAAACAATTGAATTATTTATTTTTTTTAATTAGAGAAAAAAATGTAGTAAAATAATTTCTTAAATAAAAGGAATAAATAATTCTTGCCATCACATTAAGAAAGCAAAAAGTGGGTAAAATTTTGTCCATCTTTTACAAGTGAAAAGAAACATTCAAACATGACAGATTCCCATATACACTGAAGCATACTGGATTTAGTAAACATTTATTCCGAACTAAGAGCAATTGAACTTATTATCAAAAATATAAATGTATTTACTTGAATAGTTTAGACCAGATTCTTCCAGGGACTTTAAACCCTCCTTCCATCTCCTCATCCTCCTCTGATTCAGATAATTCTCCTGCTGCTCTCAGGTCTTGTTTCTTCCTCTCAGCCTTGTTAAAATCCCTACAAAAAAGAATATTCAAATAATTAGTTAGGATGTAAATGGCCTATTTATATGCAAAACTGCTTCCAAATTGGTCATCTTTCGTGATTTATGGAGGATTTCCCCCATCAAAGGAAAAGGCATGACTATTGAAATCTTCTATTATATAAACTTCAAAACTGGCATTCAAAATAGTTGAAATGGCATTTTAACACATATATACGCAATCAAGATAAGATACACTTATGATCTGTGTTAGAGGTTTGATCCTGATCATCCTCCTATGCTTAAAATCACCAAGAAAATTTTGAGAAGTTTGCAGGTAATATATAACTACACATAATACCTATAGATTCATTGCAAAATTATTTTCACTTAAAGTCTTTTAAAAAATTGATATATATTGTTGAAGGCAATACTGTGACCTATAGTTGTCAACTATTACGTCATTTGGTCTCTGGTGGAGAGTTGTCTCATTGTCAATCATACCGCATTTTCTTTTTTTCATATAAGTTAATGCAAAAGAGAGAATCCTCTCACATCCAAGTAAAATCTGGATGAGTTATCTCTGTACTTTCAAACCTTGACTTTAAAAAAAATTAATAAGAGATGGTTGTATGACATTTACAAAATATTCTGTTTATTATTACCGAATCCTCTTGTCAAAAGAATAATCATCGCCATCATCTGTGGTCCTCAACGATTTTTCTCGGCTCAGTTTCTGTTTTCCTCCTTCTTCTTTGTCAACTTTTTCATCGTCAGAATCTATGTACTTTGGAGGTCTTCTTGGTTTTATTGGTATCCTCTTCTTCAACTTTTTCTTTTTTTCTTAAATGGTAAATTATATTTCATATAAACAGTTTATTAATTGTTTGATTTAAAGGTAGCAGTCATCAAATCAAGAGGAAATTCTATTTCTTTAAATGAAAATGCTGAAATATCTCCTAATATTTACTGATTATGATTCTATGATAAAAGTATTAGAGATCACTTGTATCAAAGGAACTTAATATCGATAAATGAACCCTAAAGATAAGGTCTAAATTAGATAAACTGCGTCTGACAGACATGTTCACCTTCAAGACCAGATATAGTTGACCTATTTTTGATAATAATTGAAAAGATCACAGACTTTTACTTTAATTCTAACCTGTATTATCAAGACCACTGTCTTCACTCTCTGACTGTTCTTTGAAATCTGGCTTGTATTCATCCCCTTCATCATCACAGACTTCATCATCTAGGAGGTCTTCCATTTTACATAGTCTTTTATCCATTGCTCCATCTGACTTACTCTTAACTAATGCTCTGGGAGACTTGGATGGAGACAAAGATCCTTCTTCATCACTGCGTGCTTTCCTCCTTCCTTTCGTATCAGGAAATATTTTTTTACTGTCCTCTTCAATCTAAATAATAAGCAATTCTAGTAATTTGTAATTATAGATTTTAGAAAATAACGACACATATTTTTTTTAGTTTATTCAAAGATGGAAATGAAAAATTCTCACGTTTTCCTACAGATAAACAACGTGTTTATTTTTACTTGAATGTTGCATGATCCAAAAGGTTTCATGTGCATTTATAGCTGGAAAATTCATGAATATTTAGTTTATCTAAGTTGAATATATGTTTATTTCAAAAGCATAATACCCTAAGCCATTAATGTTCATGGGGAACTGAAATATGATTTTTAAATCAAAGAACATGCATACAAATACCTCAGAACTGTCTCTCCTTGGTAATTTACTAATTAGTGATTCTCTCTTCCTTCTCTGATTTTTGTCCATCTTTTCAAATGCCTTCATGATGGCTTCCATTTTCCTTTCCTCTCTAGTCTACAACAAATAATTATTTGAAAAATGAATACTGGAACTAAAGAAAAAACTTTCATGGAGATTTAAAATTCTAGTATTTTTTTTACCATACATGAACAAATTCAATGCATACATTTTTATATTCTGGTATATTTTCAAATGGATCTGAACATATTCCTAAAAAAATAATACTTATGTATTTATCTTTACCATGTTTTATAACATTAATGAGAAGAGAAATTGCATTAATTACAAAATATCACTCTCAAATAATAGAATTTTATGTGTATGCTATTTCAAGACTATTACATTGGTTTTCTTATCTGGTGATCTGTCTGCAGGAACAATTGTACCAAATGGAGTCATCTCCCCTGTTCTGATCATTCTTTCTTGTTCAGTTTCATCTGAAGGAGCCTTTGAAAGTCCTAGCACTTTATTTAAGTCTATCAAATATAATGTAAAATTATCATCACAATTGATGCAAAAGTTTATTGAATGAGTGTACATGTCAAATATTCAAGATCTTGCTTAATTTCATCATTTTACTGAATTTACTACCATTGCATGGCTGTACTGAATTTACTTTATTCCTTTCCTGTATAACTCATGAAAAGAAAACTAGTATATTGCCAACCAAAATCAGATTTGTTTGATTAAAATACATACACTCAACATTTTATTCTGAAAATCCCTGTACCTTCTCTTTTATGCTGTTTTAACCTAAATGTGATCAAATTGTACATATTATGAATATTTGAAAATCAGTTTCAGTCACAAGTTATAAGTAACAAGGGAGTTCTTTGAGAAATCAATATTTCTTTTAAGTATACAAACCAGGACTGTTATCAGTTATTTCCCCTTCCTCCTCTTCCTCAGACTCCTGAATGTTAAGTCCAAGCTTCTTCTTCAAAGATTTCTCTTTTGCTTTCAAAGACATCAATTGGTTTGACTAAAACAAAAAGTAATATAAGATTTGAAATATTTTCTTTTTAATAAAGACAAAAAAAACTGTTATAATTTTGTTATACCTCAGTCAACTACAATCTAGCATTCAATAAGTATATGAAGTAAATTAGCTTCACCCCAAAGAACATAAAATATAGCAAACATAAAAAATGTAGATTGATTGTTTACCATGTGGAAAGTTCATTTACACTTTTACTATTACAGGAAAAAATCTGATTTTCAATTTTATAGAAGTCAAATGTTAGTGGTTGGTGTGTTTTATATTTTTACAAGAATTATAAGTAATTCCTGGAAGAATGAAAATGGGAAACAGAAAAAAGGATTTCAGTAACTTTTTACCTTATTTTCCTTCTGTTTCTTTACAGTTAACAATCTTTTCTGTACAAAAGCAGATGTGACACCAGTATTCAAGGAAGATAAAACTGTTGTTACCTGTTTCAACTCTTTTTCAACATTCCTGAAATAATAATTTCATACACAAATATCAAATTTTCTAAATTTCAGGTACTGTTAATATGATTAATCAAATCAAATAAAATATTTTTTTGGATATAGCACATATGATAAATATGACATTGTGAATATATTTTATAAGTTTTTATAACATGCTGTACATTCGTTACTATTACTACTAAGAATGTATTATCAAATACACATTACCTAAAAGATATATTTTTTACAGTGTGTGTGCACAAAGGCCTTTTATTTCAACAAAATGTTATAGTTTTTACTACATTTAACTTACTTTATGTCAAATTCAACAGCCCTAAGATCCTTCTCTAAAACTTTCTTGTTTCTGTCTTCCTCTTCTTTTGCCAACACCTCTCCTACTTGTGCCATAACACCTGGAATGAAAATAAATGTGCAGAAATTACATTTTTACTTTCTTACTTTTTCATTTTTTTTTCATTTTCAAAGAATTCCAAAAATCCCTTTTTCCATCTTATATTTGAAATATTTTTAATTTCTATTCTTGATGCCAAAAATATGCCAAGAATGTGATTTTTACATGCAAATACCTTCTTCAAAATCCTCTTGGTTAAATACATCTAGTCCTAAATTTTTAAGTTCATCAAATGCTTGGTCATCTAAATGTGCAACAGGTATTAAATCTCTGTTGACATGAAAGCTTTTAGCTTTCTCTTTCTCTGTTGAATCTTGATGCTGATCTGTCTCCATGGCTGATGGCTCATTTAAGTGTCCAGAAATTATTTTCTTTTCCATTTTGGAAATCAGTATATTCATATAAAATCTGTATAAAAAATAAATAAACAGAATTAACATTTTTACTGAAACTGTTTTATCTGATACAAAACACGCTATGATAAATAAAACTCATGATAGTTGTGTTCTTAATTTTAGGATAATTAAGGTTAATTTCATGATATCTTGAACAAAAGTGTCTTTTTTTTCTTCAGATGTGTTTTAAATAATTTCATCTAAGGAATATTCAAAGCGTTAAAGTACGTATTTATAGTTTTCTAACTAATTAAAACTTTTATTGTTTTTTAAGCCATAATAATAATGTTAAAGGGGCATTAGCTGACAAATTCATGTTTACCGATTTGACTCAAACTCTCATATTTGATGTATAACATACTAAAACGTATATCCAAAATACAAAAAGTCTAAAATGAACAATTAACAATGCATGGACTTGATAATATATATCAGCATTTCGTGTGTATTTTAGTCTAGACACCATCTAATTAACCATCCAGATGACCTCCGAAGACTGCCCACAGTCATATAACCTGATATAAACAGATAGCGACTACATGCAATTGGATTTTTCTAGGTCTGTTTGATTACATGTTAAAGGTTAAAACAAGATGTTAATCATCATTTTTACCTGTATAAGAATGATTTTTTAGTGGATTGAATCAGTCAACGAAATGGTTCACCCTTTTTCACTTTCAATGTTGACATTCTTTTCCTTTCAATAGCCGAACACACCTATTACATATATAACCCATCTCCAGCTAAGGGGTCAAATTGAAGTTCACATGAATGCGGATTCACATGAGGTTAAATTATTCATTTGCAATTGAATAATACATCTGCAATGTTTTTGAGCTTTATGACAAATTTTGGCCAAACTAACTGCTTGTAACGAAATATTTTTTCAAAATTACGCTTTTATTAATACTTGAAACAAAAAGCATTGTATTCTAAATTTTTGTCTAACTCATAGCTTAAATGCCCCTTTAACAGTATGAACCTTTTACACCTAAAAATTGTACATGTGATTTTAATTTCTAATATTGCTTTTTGATGCACAACAAATGTTTGTACCTGATTTCTTACAGTACTTTTGTTTATTTCACAGACTAATGAAGTGGTTCCCCGGAAACCAACCAGCATGTGCAACGGAGTAACAGATTACTATTAGGTAATCATGGTAACAGATGAAAAATTAAATAGCATATAAATGATTTTGATTTTTAAATTCACAGGCTGGTTCTTTCCTACATTTGTTTTTGTAGTTTTATTTAATAAAGAAGAGAAAGGTATCACTATCAGTTGTTTTGTTTGCATTATTTTTGTTGTTAGTTCATGAATTTAAACATAGAAGTTTTATGTTAAGTAAATGCACATAACCGGTAACATAAGTTCTGTGGAGCTTTTAACTGACACACATAATTACAATACTACACATAGGCCTATATTTACTGATTTATGAGTGTTGTGAATAAAATGTTTTCATAAAAAACAACAAAAGATAAACTGCTAATAGTATTATCATATTGATTGACAACATTTTATTACAAAGACAAACTATTTAATTTCTTCATTACCAAATATTTAATCTCATAGTCGTCATGTTTACTGAGAGATTTTATAACAGGACTTATCCCATCACTGGCATCAGCAAATTTTGGAAATATTACACAACTTTACCTCTGCGATATCCTAAGCGGCAGAATATTTTATTACAGCCAGAAATGGGGCCTATTTTTTGTTTTAAAAATATATAAAACTATTTCAGATGTAAATTAGATGTACTAATTGATCTAAAATTGATGAAATATATAGTTAAAATTGATATATTTACAAGGATATAAGTACCGGAAGTTCATTTTGTAAACAACAACAATGGCGACTGTACAGGTTCTATGTCCAAATGGAAGACGGCAAAATGTGAAAATAACACCCAATACAAAGTTGCTGCAGGTATAATGAGATTATAAAAATCAAAATTTGACTATGCTTATACTAAATTAGTGATTTATTTTAAATGTCAGTCTTGCAAACGGACTCATTTAGTCATTTACAAATTGCAAGTCATGCAACTATTTGACACCGCACCGGTTAGTCCAAATAATTATGACGTTTTAAAAAGCTATTTTAATTGTTTGATGTGACGCCTTCCTATGAAGTCTTAACGTCGGCGTCATTTTTTTCGTTTGGACTATGACAGAGAATTTTCATCTCAACTTTGAAACCTAATTTTGCCATAAACATGATAAACAGATAAATCTTCAGACTTCACTGAGGGCTAGCCATTTTTGCGTATGTTTGTACATGTATGTGTGTATGTACATGTATGTATGTATGTACGTAGATCCCATACAGTGGAATCTGTGTACACTCTGTCTGGATTAATGGAGATGAGTCACTAATGTATTTACAACATATTTACAAGGACAATCTCCACCAAATACAAAGGGAGTGCTAGGACACCTGGAAAAATCTGTTATTATGGTGGAAGATGCTGAAGTACTTGGAGAGAACCACTGGGCTGATCAGCATGTACAGACAAACCAAAGAGATAACCAACCGAGGCCCCCAAAGTACTCATTCTAGTTTAAACTCTGGTCTGGGTACCAGAGATGTGTGTAGGAGGGTGAAAATTACCCTTCTAATGTACTGAAACTTCCAGGGCCCTGAGTCGGAATGGAACTAAGGACCTTCAGCACGGTAGCCATCGGTCTTAACAACTAGACCACGAACCCACATGCTATTACTGGTGCATATGACCTGAAACATATATACAAAAAACATGTTTAACCCCGCCGCATTTTTGCGCCTGTCCCAAGTCAGGAGCCTCTAGCCTTTGTTAGTCTTGTATCATTTTTAATTTTAGTTTCCTGTGTATAATTTGGAGTTTAGTATGACGTCCATTATCAATGAACTAGTATACATATTTGTTTAGGGGCCAGCTGAAGGACGCCTTCGGGTGTGGGAGTTTCTCGCTGCATTAAAGACCCATTGGTGGACTTCGGCTGTTGTCTGCTCTATGGTCGGGTTGTTGTCTCTTTGACACATTCCCCATTTCCATTCTCAATTTTATACAAATTCTTACCTTGTGTGTGCTTGTTGGTGCTAGATTTCCCAAGATACTTCACTTTCAGTTAGACATGTTAGATGTATAAAGTATAAAATAAATTGTCCCATCAAAATCTGTAAAATTCTACCAACCCAAATTTCTGTATAATATAAATTAAACGGTCCTGGAATTCAGTTTGGTCAAATTTTACTGAGTTCGGTATGAAAATTTATTCTATACACCCCGAAATTGAAAGATCTGGGAAACCATTTGAAAAAAGCAGGAGGTCATTGATATCTCGGATGAAATGTAACTTATTCATATTTTATCATTACTTTTGGATATTTCTGGAAATATTTTGCATCAACAAGCCCACAACAGGTAAGAATTTGTATACTGTATATGCAAAAATTTCTACCCGTCAGCGTAGATATCAGGCAAAATTGGGCCTCAAAGTTGAGAAGAAAATTCTCAAAAGTCCAACGGAAAAAAATGGCTTCTGCATTATGATGTCGTAGGAAGGGCTACTGCAAAAAATTAAAATAACCTTTCAAGATGTCTTATTTGGAATATGCATCATTAAACTTTATAAAGGATAGGTGAATTCAGGTAACATATTAAGAACCTTATCATCATCAGGCTTCCAAAATGTAGTAAATTACTAAATTTTCAATTGAAAAAAATTCCAACAAACAGGCTTTGAAAATTTGGTTGAAATATTTGCTTCCATAATGTTGTAGGTTAAGTTAACATTTTTGTAAATGGCTGTGAAATAAAAACTTGGACATTTCTTGATAACACTTCACAAAAATGAAGATCTGTACAAGTTTTTAATTCTCAAAGCCATTATACAACAATTTTCAAGTTTACATACAACATTTTGGATGAAAAAACTTTACAAACAATCAAGATTAGCAATTTTGTCGCATATCTTTAATATCAGACTTATTTCAAATGTTTTGATTGGTCTAAATGAAGAATATTTTGGAATATCAGAGACTTCCTTTCGCCAAGCCTGTTTGTGTGAAAAAGTACTTTTAGCCCAAAAAAGTCACATACGACATTTTGGAAGCCCAGCAACAATATGAGAAAGATATTGTCTTGTTTATTTAAATCTTAAAAGTCTTATATGAGGCAAGTGCAACCTGATGAGCTCCTGACGGTTATTGGTGCATTTTACTAGTCTTTTTTGTAGACAGGCCAAGTTGTCTTGTACCCAGTGGTATGACCCAAATTTACCTTTCTACCATATACCGTCCCTCTTGGAGCATAATTAAACCTAAAATTGAGCACCATGTTTACACAGTGGCATTTCGATTGTCATTTCAAGGTTGGGACTAGTCACCCAAATGGTTTATGATTTGAGCGGATCGGTTAATTTTTTTTTACCCCAGAACCCTTATGATATATACCACAGAACATTGAAAAAATTGTTAATTTTGCCATTAAAGTAAGTTACATGTACCCCGGTATATAAAAACAACAAATATTAGCAGAAGTCCATATTTACGGTGGACAGTAATAGACTTCTAATATAAACTTATACATGATAAATTCAACAGTTTTACAGAATACATGTACCATATATATATATATATAGAATCTGTACAAAATAACACATTACCCTAACACTGGCTTCTCAAAATGTGCAGAACCATTGGACAAGTCCAACAACTATGATGAAAGGTTATCAAACATTGGCAACACACAGGACTTAAGTCCCATAAAACTAAAATGTGTGATCCCATAAGATATTTTGTAGGCAAAATCAATGTAAAATATATTTAAATATTGTTTTTGTCTTGCCTTGTTGAAATTGAAAATGCAAGACTTAGGTGTGCTGTTTCTAGAGGCAGCGGCGTCAACAATGTATAATTAGTTTGTGATTAAGACAGTTTGTGATTAACCACTAGTAGAATGTCAATGATTGTCGAGCCTTTGACTTTTGTCGAAAAAGCGAGACATAGCGATCCTACATTCCGTCGGCGTCGTCGTCGGCGGCGTCCACAAATATTCACTCTGTGGTTAAAGTTTTTGAAATTTTAATAACTTTCTTAAACTATCCTGGATTTCTACCAAACTTGGACAGAAGCTTGTTTATGATCATAAGATAATATTCAAAAGTAAATTTTGTAAAAAAAAATTCCATTTTTTCCGTATTTTACTTATAAATGGACTTAGTTTTTCTGCCAGGAAACATTACATTCACTCTGTGGTTAAAGTTTTTGAAATTTTAATAACTTTCTTAAACTATCCTGGATTTCTACCAAACTTGGAAAGAAGCTTGTTTATGATCATAAGATAGTATCCAGAAGTAAATTTTGTAAAAAAAAAATTCCATTTTTTCCGTATTTTACTTATAAATGGACTTAGTTTTTCTGCCAGTTAACATTACATTCACTCTGTGGTTAAAGATTTTAAAATTTTAACAACTTTCTTAAACTATCCTGGATTTGTACCAAACTTGGACAGAAGCTTGTTTATGATTAAAAGCTAGTATCCAGAAGTAAATTTTGTAAAAAAAAAAATCCATTTTTTCCGTATTTTACTTATAAATGGACTTAGTTTTTCTGCCAGTTAACATTACATTCACTCTGTGGTTAAAGTTTTTAAAATTTGAACAACTTTCTTAAACTATCCTGGATTTGTACCAAACTTAGACAGAAGCTTGTTTATGATTAAAAGCTAGTATCTAGAAGGAAATTTTGTTCCATTTTTTCCGTATTTTACTTATAAATGGACTTAGTTTTTCTTCCAGTTAACATTACATACAGTCTGCAGTTTAAGTTTTTAAAACATTTATTAGATTCATAAACTATCCTGGATTTTTACCAAACTTGGACAGAAGCTACTTACAATCAAAAGATAGTATAGAGAGGAATATTTTTATTAATTTTTTCCCTCATTTTTGCTGAGCCTGTGATTAACAGCAAAAAGTAGGCGAGACACTGGGTTCCGCGGAACCCTTACGAATTTTTTTTGGTATGCAGTTGTATTAATTTGTAGTTAGTATTATCACATCTAATTTCTATGGAGATTATTTGGCCCCAAATAGTTTTTCATCACATAATGTTCTGGTTTTAATGGGTTTTTGACAGAACCTGCTTTTTCATTATGTTCACTTTTTTAATATTGTGGACAAGAATTTTCTCTTTTCAGAGTCGTGTTTGACAATTGCTTATGACCTTGAAAAATACATCAAGTTTATATTATGTAACATCATAAAAAAAACTGATTTTGCTCAGTTACAAAGAGTCTGTTTATACAAAATAAATTTTACAATCATTAGATGAAATTGTTACTTCCTTATCCTTTCAGCTATAGACAATTCTTGCAACACGTTGTGTATGGGATGATTATTTCTGGCACCCAACTACAATTATGTACTTTTCTTTATCTGAATATGTATAGTCCCCTAAAAATATAATTTGTCGATTTTTATGATTGCAGTTCAAACAAATTGTGCATCCACGAGGACTGGTCACTTTGTAACACTCTTAGTCCTAATCCAATTTGAGCTCCAAATTATGTGAGACCTCGTGTCCTTGAGATTGTTGTAGGAATTATGGTTTATTTGTCAGCCCTAAAGTCACATTTTAGATGCTCACCCTTTGCTTGAATCCAAATTTCATGTTGCCATAAATTATTTATTGTAGCTATAAAGTTCATACCATACACGTAATACACCCTGTTTACACCAAAATGCATAATTTATATTTATCTGTGCAATATAAGTTTGATCATTTTTAAAAATCAGAAAAAAGTTGGTGCATGTATTACAGAAATAATGTTTCTGAGCAATTTTTTAAAGTAATTCTTTAGTTTAGTACATGTCATGATGAAATGAAATTCATTTCAACCCCTGAATGATATAATTTACAAATCCCTGCCTCTACAGGCAATTTGACAATACTGACCTCTCCCAATACCAAAATTACTGTTTTTTTTCATGTAGTAAAACCTTTATCTTAAAGACTATCTACATAGATTCAATCATGATAAGATAAGAAGGCAAAACATTGCATGTGTACACTCTTCAGTCTTGTTTATTTACGTTGACTAATCAAACAAAATATTTATATTTATTTCAAATTCTGCCAAACATGTATGACACATTAGATGAGTATTAATTAGCATTTATTTATTATAATGGACTTATTTATATTTTTAGGTACTAGAAGAAGTTTGTAAAAAGCAAGGATTCCTACCACCAGAAGATTTTAATCTAATGTAAGAATGAAGAGCTTGATTTTTTGGTGTGGATAAACACGAGACAAAATCACAAAATTTAACCTACACCCAGAAACAAAACAGGAAATTGTTATGTTATAACATCTTACAAGTCTTTATGTTGACATGATAACTGTCTCCTATAGCACTAAATACAGAGAAACAGTGCAGGGAACTGCTATTGCTTTAAATCTTAAAAATGAGAATAGCCATTTTCTGTAGCTGGTGTATAAATGAAGATACTCACAGTTTATAACAAGTGCTTTACATGATATGTTATTGAAAAAGAAGGAATGTTATTGCTAAAAATACACTATATGAGTAATCCTTTTGAAGAAAAACATCAAACATAATAGAAAATTAATATTTGAGCCCTAGAAAACAGGAGAAAATTTGGGGGCAAAATTACCTGATTCTGCACGAATTTCCCCTACCCAGCCTATCCAAGATACAATGCTATTCAATTTGAAACCCTTTCAAGAAACAAGTTGAGAAGTGAAATCCCTGTACCCATTCTAGCAAATGACAGATAGGCTTAAACTGAGAGAACCTATAAAGACATGAACAAAAATACGACACAATTTAATTACAATATGTCATAAAAAAAAATTTTAAATTTAGATTTTATTTTTGCTACAGACTAAATTTGAAATAGTCTTTAATTCTACCTTCTTTATTTTTGATAATCCATGTATGTTTACCAGCATATTATATAAATGTTTGGCAATACATGTTTATTTTCTGTCCATAACTGCATCATTTCTCCACTGTTGTTGTTTAATGTCATAATATCTAATATAATTGGTTATTTTTATTGTTTATGTAAAGTATATGTTTTATAGTCATGGAAGGAAGACCCTAGATGTGACATTATCAGTAAGATTTGCTAACCTTCCAAATAACTGCAAGTTAGAATTGGTTAAATCTGAGAAAAGTCGTGTTGAACAAGAAGTAGTAATAGCATTACAGTTGGAGAATGGAGAGAGACTGCAGGGATCATTTTCCCCAACCATTTCATTATGGGAACTGTTACTTCATTGGGAAAATAAGTCAGAAAGGTTTGAACAATTATTTTTTGAAGTAATATTGTTGTTTTTATATGGACAAATTCTTTTATTGGATTCTTTATTATGAAATGTTTAGACAGATTTTTTAAATATGAATAATACAGCACACAATCACTTTTTGCAATACAAAAGATTTTCATTGTGTACATTAACGAATAAGGTGTCAAGGATTTTTTACAACATGTTCATGATTTATTGCAGTTTATCATCAGGGCAGTTGACAAGTACAGATTCTACCAGTGTTCCACCAACACATCCTGTCTGTATTTATATGAGGGAAGAGGTAATTACTGAATATTATAAATTTCTAATTACATTACTACAATTAGTACCAATTTTACCGTACCAGATGGGCATTTCAACAATTTACATCTCTTGAATGATGCTCAAGATCAAAATATGTGAAAATCCAAAACCTAAAACCAACTTTGAAGAGCTCATTAATGAGTTAAGCGAAGAATGTATAGCAAAACCCAGACGTAAAAAATCAATATTAATGTATGGACAAGTTTTTATGCCCCCACCGTAGCGGAGGGGGCATTAAGTTTTACCCTTGTCCGTCCATACGTCCCAAAGTTGGTTTCCGTTCTCTTACTTTAGTTTGCCTCAACCAGATGTTATGAAACTTATACACAATGCTAATTACCACAAAATACAGATCAAGTTTGAATTTTGTTGGTGTCACTTTAACCGTTCTAGAGTTATGCCCCTTCACAAATGGGAAAATTGCTGAAATTTTCGTTTCAGTTCTCTTACTTTAGTTCGCCTCAACCAAATGAAACTTATACACAATGCTTATTACCACAAAATACAGATCAAGTTTAAATTTTGGTGGATCAAATACAGAAAAGCTTTCTAACAGAGGTAAATCTGGAAACCTCTTCTCCAAATTCTCAACCACATGATCAATGTATGGAAAGTAGACCTAAAATGTAATTTGGAAATGTTTACCTTGTGAACAATTTTATAGAACTTACATATTCAATTTACAAATCCAAATTATTGTTTTGTCATATACATTTACTGATGAATTACCTGTTTTTCAAATTTATCAAATTCCTCCTCTGTTGGGCTCTTGACTTTGAAGTTTTCTTTGATTAAATCATCTATAACATTCCTTACTGAAGCATAATTTTCCCCATGTCTTTCTTTAAATGATTGGATGGTCTTTATAGTTCCAATTACAAGAGGTCTTACTACTGTGTAGTCTGCATCTTTTCTCTGTTAAAAAAAATCTTGTATTTAATAACTTAATTTAGATTATTTACCTATTTGAATACTGACATTGCAGATATTATAACATTTAACTGAATTATAAATTATGTATTTTTAAAATAATGTTACCTGCAAGGCTTTTGATAGTTGTGACAGTGGTGGCAGCAAATCACACATCATGTACAAAGTTGCAATGAAGTCAAACTTCTGTACAAATGTGGCCAGGCCTAGTGCTTGGGCATCACCTCTCTCCTTGGCTTCTCTCTCCAAACTTGTGATGATTGAAGGAAAACACCTCCTTATAGATTGGACAGCTTTGTCATGGGAAAGCCACCTAACATCTTTTGCCTCTGTAATTTTGATAACTGGCTCCTGGAGAATTTCCTAAAATAATGAGCATACAATAAAAATTAATACATACATTTAATGAGTCTGCTTGTTAAGGTGTTAAATGAACCCACACAAACATTAATATAATATTTTAGTCATACTACGATTTTTCTTACCTGAATATGATGAAGTGCTGCCATTCTGACTGCACTGTACTGGTAGAACCTGTACAGCTGTTCCACAATCGCCTTAAACTTCTTGAGATAAGGGACGGCAGCAGCAGCTTGAGAACTTGCTAAAGCCAACCTATGAGCAACACAGTGGTTTGCAATCAAGGTTGGAACAGACTCCTTCAGCAATGCTGCAACCCCTCCTTTTCTACCAAGCATGACAGATGCCCCATCACTTCCTAATGCACACATCTTCTCCAATGGCACATCAATCTCTTCCAGAGTTTGGACTATAGCACTTTTGATTGTTGCTGCTTTTCCATCAAAAAGTACAATCATTTTTAGGAAATGAGTGGAACTTTTGCCATTTTTAAGAAATCTGAAACAAAAAACAAATATCAAGTATTTCAATGAAAGAAGTGGCTGAAAAAGTTAGTCATATTAGTAGTTTAGGAATTAAAAAATTCAACAAAAATTATCAGTAACTGTCTAAAATTTAAAGAATTTTTACCTCACATAGAGAATCAACTCCTTCTTAACAGCTACATCAGTTGTTTCATCAACCATCACGGTGTAGAATGGTGAATTTTTCAGGTCACGGATAAGTGGAGTTTGTACAATATATTTGAATGACAGCAAAGCTTCTTGGATAAATCTTTCAGAAGTGTATTTTGCATTCTCTCCAACCATGAAGGCATTCATAACATCAACACCAAGGTCTTTGCCTGTCAAAAGATTTTTTTGTTATTTTAGATGTTTAGGCCTAGCACAACACAATAATAATTCATTCAAAAACATTTTTCTTGAAATATAAATCTTGAAATAATATTGGAAAGAAGCATTATAATACAGTCGATTCCACTTAATTGCATACCGCTTTATAGCATAATTCGGTTAATTGCATACTTTTCTCCTGCACAAAACCATTTCCCATTCATCTAATGTTAAATTGTCCGGTTATATGCATAGCCTTACAAGTGGCCTTTCGGTTAATTGCATAGAAAATATTCGCCAGCTAGATATGCTTAGTTAAAACTGACGAGATTTTTGACCGGAAACGGCAATTTGGTAAGTATATTTTTCATGAATGCATCATAATTTTCGTTATTATTTCATATTTACTTTTGTGTTATCTAAATAAAGTTTTAAAACAGTTTCTTTCGTGTTTATATGATTATAAAATAAGCCTCGATGTGTACACAGGTAAAGTTTCCCATGTTCTATTTTAAGCCTCGAGGTCATAAAAATGTCAAACAGGTGATTGTTGTAAAAACACGTCCAATCTATCTCAAAAGGTGTTAATTATTGATTGGATTTCAAACATTGTTCATAGATTACATTTGGGGTGAATTTTAAAAACAATAACCCCTGTTAATTATCGATCATTATCCAATGTGTACTCTCGTAATTCGGCTTGGGGTGATCTACACTTATGTTAAATATTACAGGGCATTTATATATGGTTGAAGAATTTTATTCATCAATCTTTTATTTTTAATATTTTTTGAAAAGAAAATCAACTTCTAATTATTATATTTTCTCTCTTTCAACACTCGTGTCCTGCAAATAACCCGTACAGGGCCCCATTACCTGTTAACTGCTTTGCATATACGAAACTAACGAGGTTAAAGAAACAGTGTTACATCACTGTGCAAGCGGTAAATACTGCATATCAAAGGCAGTTTAGTACACATTTATTGTTTAAAATGATTATAAACTGTGTAGTATTGTTAAACAGTTAATTTAATCAAAGCGTAACAATGTACATTGTACATCCGGGTCATAGAAACAAATCTATTTTTAGAACAATTAGTTTTATTTTCGTATCTCAGGTAAAGGAAAAGTCGGTACGCAAATAAACTAAAACAAAATGTGTTTATAAACTTTATTGAAAGAATACAAAATAAAATAACATGTACAACACTAGACACATAACTTTTATTAGAATAAATAAGCATTCAATATGTTGTAAGTGGATTATGGACGTTCATCTTTCTTCAGGGATTTCCTTAACTGATCTGTACTATCGATGTTATTTGACTCCGTAATTTGGCATTTCGGATATAAGCATACTCCGCTTAATTGCATAATTTTGTCTGACAAAAAGGCTATGCAAATAACCGGAATCGACTGTATGTACTGAAAATCAAACTTACAAAGGTTCATCAAAGGAACATAGTCGGTTGTATGTGGAAGTTCCCTTTTGCACAACCAATACAAGCACTTCATTGCTGATTCCATTGCCATCTCATTCAATGTGACTTCCTTCTCAACTGCTGTGGCAAGACTGGTGTTAGCAAGAACTCTTGCCCCTTCAAAAGCAACAGCCTCTTTATGTGTCTCACTGCGCCCATGTCTAAGAATACTTTCACGTACCATCCATGAGCAAGGCAAATCAACCCATGCAGCTTTCCCTGGTACACTCTTTTTGGGCCTCCTTTGATGTTTTGTACACAAGTTACATTTCATTCCTTTTGAAAAATAATTAATACGAAATTTTGATTCAGGTTGTTTAATTTCATTATTATACGTGATCAAGTTCTATGTAAATTAATTTCATTTCAGAAGCAAAATGTATTTAAAAAATTAAAAATATAGTTTTTGATACTGGGACTCCTGAAAATACACGAACCAGATTCATTGTCAAACTATTCTTTTTATATTGATGAACGATTTCTGCAAAAAAGTTGCCAATAATATTTTATGAAATAAAATTTATAATTTTTCCTTACCCCCTTCAACATTCCTAAGCCATGAAAATTCAGTCAGCCACTTGTCATTGAAGCCAGAAACACGGTGCTTGCTGTTATCACTAGCTGAAACTTTAGCTCGCTTTGGATTAGGAGAAGCCGCGACCTCTGCTACTACTGACGATGTAGACGGAGGTGTATTCTCCTTTTCATTAGAAGTCATTGGTCTGAAAAAACTAATTCCATCATCTGCCTTTCGCTTAACCCCTTTCTTATTTGTAGATAACATGTTCGTTCAGAATTAAAATTGAATATGGTTAAGATATTTTGGTATACAACTTTTTAAAACAAAATTATTTTAATGAACAGCTGACCAGTTTCCGTAGTTTGACATTACGCTTCCGTGTATATTATTGTCAAAACCTATCTTTGGCAGGTAGATATAAACGAAACTTGACAAATTCGTCAAAGTTAAGACCATTGAAATTATTTAATAGTGACATTATACAGAAGCTACAGCGATTCCGTACCCGTGTTGATTGTCACATAGTTCCCGACGGACAGATTTACGATCGATGTTCAATAATCATTTTATTTCTAAAATATGACAGTTTGAGACGAATTTAACTTGAAAGCAACATTTTTTCAATTTCTAATAAAATTAATCACTCCTTATTATCTTTAATCAAAGTTTATTTTATTTTTTTCACTTACAAATACTCTCATTCATAATTTTCATCGTAAATATATTTAGCAAAGTGTATTCAAATTTATCACGTGTATTCAACACGTTCATTGGTCGTGTTTAAATAGATTCTTCTTCTCGACCAATGAAAAAATTCGTGATATAAATGGTCAAGTGATCACATAGACGATGCGTAAATACAATGTATTTGCGATCTATTTCTTCATTTTTTGCACTGAAGTTTTTAAAAACTTTTTATTTTCTTCTCAAAATATCTATCTTCTTGATGAACATTTTCGCTATAATCTGATAACATGGTCTGATAAGGGTGGCTCAGGTAAAACTAATTATCAGTTATTGCGTAACACTGACCGACCTCTCAGCGGTGATCAGCAACTTGACAATTTTAACCAACATTTATAATGAAAATGTGAAAATTAACATGCTGCGGGATCAAGTATTAAGGGACAGCGGCCAATTAAGGCGCTGCGGGAATAACGAAAATATTTTGAAGGCGCTGCGGGACCACAGCGTCATATCGGCCTGGGGAGAACACTGTTGTCACTTTAACCATTCTAGAGTTATGCCCCTTCACAAATGGGAAAATTGCTGCAATTCTCTTATGTCAAAGTCTGAGGAAATTGAACGCATGATGACAAAAAGGTTAAAATTATGGAAATTTGAAAATTACATAAAAGGATAAAAACTTTAACATATCATTATATTTCTTACAGGTAATTGGGGAAATGGCTTTAAAAGAAACAAGCTTAAGAAAACTTGGCCTAACAGGAGGCAAAGCTGCAATAAGGTAAATTGGTTTTCAATTTAGTATCTCAGGTTTCTCGTTAAGACGCGTATATGCATCCTGGACGCATGAAAATCGAGCTGGATGCGTCATTTTTGAAACCTGTTAGTCAGTGGGACATGTCCTCGTTGTTACCCCTGAGTCCCAATTACATTGTTTTGCCTAGTAGATTCATGATCGTCGACATTGTTTTGATAGGAAACTAAACTGGAAGTCGATGATGAAAAATTATGTAATGCGTAGATAATTATTTTTGTTGACTGATAACTATTTTTTAAGATTAAACTTATTTCATCCTAAAATATGATAATTCTGTTCAAACTGATTAATAAATATGTAATAGTTACCAATTTTTAAAGATTTTACCAGTATTTGAAAAGCTTGAATATTTCCACGTGTTGAACATCACGTACTTATCGATTGAAACAAAGAAAGTCAAATTTTTGGAGAACTTGAAATGAAATGATATAATATTTCATAACTGTTGCTACTATGCATAAAATAGAACAGTGTAGATTTAAAATTTTACGGATAAGAATAATTTTTCTCGTATTGTGCATGTTGAACATCGCAATCGTAAACAAAGGTGAAAAAAGTTTTGAAATTGAAACAAATCCAATTAAAAAACGATTTACGGTTACGGTGCTCACTTTAGATTTGCTTGTTAGTCCCCTAATGACGAAGTGGAAGGGGACTTTAGGTTTGCACTCCGTCCGTCTTTCCATCTGTCCATCCGTCAGTCCGGCAAATCAGCTTTCCACACTTTTTTCTTCGTTCTTGAAGATATTGATTTGATATTTGGTATATAGTTTTATCATGACAAGTTATAGATTAAGTTCGAATTTTGTTCCGGTCTGATGATTTAGTCCAGAGTTATGGACCATATCTAATGTTAGAGTACTATGTTAAACCATATTTCTGTACAAAGGGAGATAACTCATTTTTTAAAAGACATTCTTTGTTAAATTATTTGAAGATTTTTTTGGCAGGTTTGTTTGTTATTTAGTATAAACTAATTTTCTGAATGCTATAGATATGAAAAAAAATTATGAAGAGAAATCCTTTAATTAGATAATAATCTATTTTTATTAATGTATATATTTCAATACATTACATTGTGTATATAAAAGTCGTTGACATTTTATAGATAAGTTAAAAATCTATATTAGTTTGTGACAAATGAAAGAAAAAATATTTGGAACTATTAATTATATTTTATTATAATTTGAAAATAGATATACACTGTATTACATCATATCTAATTTTAGAGAACTATTAATCATATCTAATGTTTTTTTCACTCATATAATCAGTTTTCCACACTGTTTTTAGTCATGCTTGAAGATATTGACATGATATTTACTTTTTGTTTACACCATGACAAGTTATAGAACAAGTTAGCATTTTGTTCCAGTAAAATGATTTTTTACCCCGTAGGGGACTATGTATTGCCATGCAATACTCTCAGAATGCTTGTTTTTATTAAAGATTATAATTATTATCATGATGCAAACATCAAAGTGATTATTAACTCAATGATTAAATATAATTAAAATTTATTAATAATAATTAATATGAACTGTGACAAGTCTGTGTTCATGCAATCCCAATTTCTTATAAATACTGGCTTGTCCAACAAAATGACATCAGTATTACAATGTCAGAGTCAGTCAAAGTTAAAGTCCTTCTTCAAAAGGAAACTTGATGACATTGAATCATCAGTACCAAGTAAAAGACCAAGAGTCAATGACCCACTACACCAAGAATTGATAGACATAGAAAGATCTTCAGAAACAACAACTTCAGTTACTTCAGTCACTACACCAACTAAACCAAAGAAAGAGAGGAAAAAGCAGTCTATATATGTTGTAATGAACAATAACTATTAAGAGATCATAACTTTTATTAATATAATAAAAACTACCAATCCAACACGCATAGTTTAAGTTTTATTTCATCATATTTCATCATATTAAGACACAAAAAATTACATGCATCCTGGACTCAATAAAATCTATTGGGACTCACCATTTCTAAAAGTGATAAGTCCCAGGACTCACCATGAAAAATTCCTAGTGAGAACCCTGATATCTTGTAACTTATGATTTAAAATAGGTACAAATGTACAAATTTCAAGTACATTTGGAGTATGATATGTGAGGCCAAAAATAATCATGCATTAAAAACACCACCCAAACTTTGAAATAACCTTATACATAATTATTAAATTGTTTATATTAATACAGACCATTCAACCTCAAATAAGTATTCCTTTCAATTGTTGTTTCAATCTTTATATCTATTATTTAAGAAATAACTATTGGTTTTTTGTCTTACGTTACGAAGTTTCCGTCTGTCATTTGTCCATTGTCCTTGAAAAAAAAATCAACATTTTTTGTAATGTTAATTTCTTTCTTATTATGAGTAATAGGATAACTATATTTAGTATGTGCGTACCTTGCAAGGTCCTCATGCCCGTCAGACAATTTTCATTTGACCTCGACCTCATTTCATGGATCAGTGAACAAGGTTAAGTTTTCTTGGTCAAGTCCATATATCAGATACTATAAGCAGTAGGTCTACTATATTTGGTATATGGAATGATTGTAAGGTGTACATGGCCAACTGGTAGGTGTCATCTGACCTTGACCTCATTTTCATGGTTAAGTGGTCAAAGTTTAGTTTTTGAGTTTTGGTCTTTTTTTCTTATACTATATGCAATAGGTCAACTATAAATGGTGTATGGAAATATTTTATGATGTACATGTCAGTCTCACAGGTTTTATTTGACCTTGACCTCATTTTCACGGTTCATTTCTCAGTGTTAAGTTTTTGTGTTTTGGTCTGTTTTTCTTCAACTATAAGCAATAGATCAACTATATTTGATGTATGGAAGGATTGTAAGGTGTATGTGTCTGTCTGGCAGGTATCATCTGACCTTGACCTCATTTTCATGGTTCATTGGTCAATGTTTAGTTTTCATGGTTAAGCTTGTTTCTTAGATACTATACGCAATAGGTCAACTATATTTAATGCCTTAATTGATTGTAAGGTGTACATGTCTGTCTGTCATGGTTCATCTGACCTTGACCTCATTTTCATTGTTCATTGTCAATGTTAAGTTTTCTTGTTTAAGACTGTTTCTTAGAAACAATAAGCAATAGGTCAACTATGTTTGGTTTATTGAATGATTGTAAGGTGTACATGTATTTCTCGTTTGGTTTATCTGACCTTGACCTCATTTTCTTGTATCATGTCAAGGTTATGTGTTACTTGTAGTAAAGCTTTGTATTTAGGACTATCAACATAAAATCAATGGTTAGTAAAGAAGGCGAGACATTTCAGCGTATGCACTCTTGTTTTCATAGAATGTAAGTTTCATTGCTGCAAATTGAGGCTAAACAGACAAACAATGTGAATAATACTAAAAAGTTATATTATGTTTATTTCATAGATATGCTCAAAGACCAGTTGAAGATAGTGTTTTAGCAGACATAATATCTAAATTAGAGAAAGAACAAGTAAACAATGCTAGACTAGAACAGATAGCTGCTAGACAAAATTCTCAGTCAGATCAACCAAAAGATTCAAAATCTACTGAAATAAAAGCAGATCAGAATGTGCAATCTAATCAACCTGGATTAAAACCTGAAACTACTCATAATGATGAAAATGTCTCAAAACAATCAAATGATGAAAATGAAAGTAAGAAATCCCAAAGTAAAAGTAGTGCTAATAATTCAGAACCAATGGAAACTGATAGTTCAGAACATGTGACTACAGTGAATCAATCAATGGATGTAGATAGGACAGAAAATACAATTAGTGATAATATAGTTACTGCTGGAAGTAGAAATTTAAGTCAGAATGGTACTGATCGTAGATCTCAGGCTGAGGCTATCAGACGAGGGGCTGAAGCATTGAGGAATATGAATATACCTGGTGTGGAAGTTATTACTCCTGATGATTTTTACGATTTAACACCAAGAGAACAACAGGTATGATTTATAGAAAAAAAAAATTGAGAGTCATGTTAATTTTGAATGTTTGGATATCATATTTAATATTTTATTTCTCCTGTCATGAATGTGGCTTTGGCATAAAGATTGTCTGTCTTTATGTCTATACTTTCACTGGGATTTATTTGGTTCTAAAAAACTAATGATTGTATATCAATGATGTTTCACTATTTAAATTCTCTTGTGTAATACAACATTGAATAACTATATGTAAGTCAGTTTGACCTATATGTTCTACAAATTTTGTTTTGGAGAGATAAATCTTTGATATTTCATGTTAAATTACAAGTTGTCTGGTTGCTTTATTCATTGACTCTAAATTCTTCTGAAGAAAAAATAAAATGAACACTAAACTTTTTATGAAACGATATGTGAAATCTCTCAAAAAAAATTTGAAATTATTTAACTTTATAAAATTTCAGGTTGCACGTCAGATGGCAGCAGCATATATGTCACAGATTGGGGTAGATGTTTCACAGATACGACAAGGTGTTCAATCAGCATCAGGACAGAGAAGACCCCCACAACAACAGTCATTTCAGGGATTTAAGGTTTATATGGATAACACCATCATTTTGATGGCTTGAAAACCAAATTTACCATTATAAACAGTTTAAGTTTAGTGACAAGTTAATTTTGTGAGGATCGGTTTATGTAGGGATCAAGGGGAAAGATATATTCAAGATTTTCAGTGTTTGTGCTTTTAATGTTGGTTAGAAGATTTGTTTTACTTTTTTCTATAAAGAAGTTTGAAGAGCTGAAATGCTTGTAAGGTCACGTCAGCAAAGAAAATGTATATTGTGGTGAATATAGTTATTTTTTTAGAAATTAGAAAAAAATATAAAAATTTTATACTAGGTAGTCATCATTCAAACCAACAACTGAAGTTGTGGTTACATCAGCAAATTCCTAATTTGACATATTATTTTTTAATTTGCCTCAAGTTTCAATTTGATGTGACCACAACTGAAGTTGTTGGTTTGAATGTGATGGATTTGAAAGTATTTACTGTAAACAAACATAATATCAAGCCTCAAATATAACCTTCACATCAAATGAAAATTGTTTGAAGTGTATTTAGACCATACAATCATTTTTATTGCCTTGCTTTTACAAATTCCTGAAGATACCAAATAATAAAAAAATAAAATTGATAGGGATAACCATTAATATGAATATTGCAACTGTTTGAAAATTGCTCTTTAATTGTAGTTCCCAGAAGAAACAAAAGGAAAAGATTTATATCAAAATGAATTAAGGTTAGTTATAATGATTCAATGAAATCTCTGCAAGAATGAAATAAAGCAGCTTCTAAAGTAGATGTATTTTCTCAAAGGTTCATTGTTTAATATTTTGAAATTTATAATAATTTTCACTAAAATAATTCTTTGTCAGAGATTAGATACACTCAAAAAACATCCTGTATGATTATTTTTTGGGAAAAGCTTTATATTATAGATGTGAGACAGACAGTCAAGATTTTTTGTCATTTTATTGTCGAGCCTGCGACTTCTGTCGCAGAAAAACAAGACATAGGGATAGTGATGCGGTGGCGGCATTAAATAACTACTTAAAATATTAATATTTCAGAAGGTAGAAGACCTGGATGCTTCATACTTTGTATATAGATGCCTTATGTTATGAAGTTTCCATCTGTCATATGTCCATTGTCCTTGACCTCATTTTCATGGTTCAGTGACTACTTGAAAAAAAAAGTTAAGATTTTTTGTAATGCTAATTTCTCTCTTATTATGAGTAATAGGGTAACTATATTAGGCATGTGCATACCTTGCAAGGTCCTCATGCCTGTAAGCCAGTTCACTTGACCTCGACCTCATTTCATGAATCGGTGAACAAGGTTAAGTTTTTGTGGTCAAGTCCATATCTCAGATACTATAAGCCATAGGTCTAATATATTTGGTGTATGGAATGATTGTAAGGTGTACATATCCAACTGGCAGTTGTCATCTGATCTTGACCTCATGTTCATGGTTCAGTGGTTAAAGTTTAGTTTTTATGTTTTGGTCTGTTTTTCGATACTATATGCAATAGGTCAACTATATTTGGTGTAAGGAAATATTTTACAATGTACATGTTAGTCTAACAGGTTTTATTTGACCTTGACCTCATTTTCACGGTTCATTGCTCAAAGTTAAGTTTTTGTGTTTTGGTCTGTTTTTCTTAAACTATAAGCAATAGGTCTACTACATTTGGTGTATGGAATGATTGTAAGGTGTATATATCTGTCTGGCAGGTATCAACTGATCTTGACCTTATTTTCATGGTTCATTGGTCAATGTTAAGTTTTCCTGGTAAAGTTTGTTTCTTAGATACTTTGTGCAATAGGTCAACTATATTTGATGCATGGAATTATTGAAGGGGTGTACATGTCTGTCTGGCATCATTCATTTGACTTTGACCTCATTTTCATGGTTCATTGGTCAATGTAAAGTTTTCATGGTCTGTTTCTTGTATACTATGAGCAATAGGTCAACTATATTCGGTGTATGGAATGATTGTAAGGTGTACACTTATTTCTGGCTTATCTGACCTTGACCTCATTTTCTTGTATCATGTTAAGTTCATGTGATACTTGTATTAAAACTTTATAGTTAGGACTGTCAACATAAAATCAATGGTCAATAAAGCAGGCGAGACATTTCAGCATGTGCACTCTTGTTGACTTTACAGGTACATGTGTACTGTCATTTCATGGCTGTAAAAACCAATTAAAAAGAAATATTTCAACCAAAACTGCAATGTTTAAAGAAAGAAATAGATTTTAACATTTAATTCTGCAAACGTGAGAAATTTTAAATTCAATTGATATAAGGGCAATTTTGGCCCAGATCTTTCCTTGTTGTTTTCACGGATCAATGAACAGTAGGTTAACGTTGATTCTGTAAGTGTTCTCTTTAAACAATGCAAGATTGGCATTATAACAAGCATGGTCATTTTAAGCTTTTGCTGAATTTCTTAACTCAAGAGTACTTGAGACTAATCTCTGTAATAAGATGAAGACCTTCACTATACTCTTTATTAACTGTTAAGTGTTGTAACTTTCTCTTGAATGTGCAATTCATAATTCTATACAAGCAGGATTTGGAGCATAAATTGTAAACACACTCTGAGGCTCTTGAATTTAATTTCCTTTTTTATAAATGAAAAATTGCTGATTCATTGACTTGGTAAAAATTGAAAATTCCCAATGAAGAAATGGACTGAAAGGACTATTGTGAACACCAGGGGGACCAGATATCGCTTTTAACGGTCGGACAAAGCGAAGTGATGGATGGACTTTTTCGCCCCAGGCGCCTGCTAGCGTGAGCCCTTGCCTCTCATGATTCGTTCACCTCCACAGTTATATGTCAATCGATATACAAAGCAAATACAGAAAGAACAATTTGATATCAGTTGAAATAACTCTGTGTTTTTTTCCAGCTCTGTAAACAAAGAAGAATATAAGGTGAGCATTAAAAAATTTATGAATAAGGACCTTTAATTATAATGTAAGGTTCTTTCAGATAATAAATGTCTGAAGAACCATTGATATAAGTTTGTAGGGGTGTTAATGATAAGAACGGTTTAATATTTTATATTTTTATCAAGACTTTTCTATGGACATTTTTAGTAAAAGAAAAAAAAAAGAAAATTGATCTTATAGACATTTCAATTAAACTATAACCCCTTGATATGATGAGAATAAAGAAAAGAAAAATGAATAATTTGATGTAACAAATTGATTGATAATGTTATTTGACATAGATTTCCTTAAGACTTGTTTCTCATTTTTAACTGAAGAGTTGAATTTCACTTAAATTGTTTATTTAGCCATCTTAATAAGTAGAGTTCCACCTCTTCAATACTTGATTTTTAAGTTATGTTTATTTTATACTATTTGACATCAGTACATCACATTATATGAATTTGAATTGGTGCACATTATATGCCTTAACGTGTTATATTACATGTATAGATTGGAATTAAATGTTACTTTTACATGTGAAATAATTTTACTATTTATTGATATAGCCTTGTGATAGAGAGACAATGATATTTAGTATGGACGAAGTGATCAAATCAACTGGTGCTAACCAAGGTAGTTTATTATTACAGTTATTGTGACTTGATAATAAGTGTTTCTATCCACCTTTTGCAGAATATTTAAAATTCTCAACCAAGTGCAGTTTGATTTCACAATTTTCTTATTGACGAGGACTGTCAGTTTTCCTCCTGAAGGTTGTGGTTCTCTATGGGTACTATGGCTTCTTCTACCAATTAAAATGGGATGCCACACTATAGCCTGGAGTGCTGAAAGTGCCTTTAAACACAATCAATCAATCAAATCAAACTGTTCAACTGGTCAGCAATTTTACCAAACTTATGTAGATAAACCACAGTCACGTCATCAAGCATACTAACAATCCTTTATGACTTGAATTTCTCTTCATGGGAACTATTAAAGTGATGCTTTTTATTTCTAACATATTTATTTTGATAAGTCATTTGAAAAGTAAGGTAGTAATTGTACTGCAATGTGTTGATATAAACACTTACAATCAAGTTGATGTAATATAGATTTTAAATTATGTGAATAAAATGTTATCTTCTTTTTCAATCAAATTAAACATTTCTTTCATGCAATTTAGGTAATAGACTTGGAGACAGACATCCAAAATGTGAATTTGTTACATGTATATATTTTGTGAAACTTGGCATTCAATACCTTGATGATGACAATTCTTTCATAACATTTCGATCATCAAAAACAATATGTCTAACATCCTAAGGGGCAACATGGTGTTATTTTACTGAACATTTATCCATCTGTTGTCAAAATAGTGTATGAAAAAAACATATAAAAAACAGATGATTCCAGGATTATAATTTTGTATGCCAGATGCACGTTTCATCTACAAAAGACTGATCAGTGAAGCTTGAATCAAAAAAGTTAAAAGGCCAAATAAAGTATGAAGTAAGCATTACATAAATATAATCCACTATACATTTGTACGCATGAATGAGCCCTTATTTACTTAGAAAAAGGTGTATGTATATGGTTAGCAAAAGCAAACATAATTAAGAAGTAAATCTTCTATTTAACTGTTATGGTACAGCTCTTTTATTGCGAACCCAATGAAAGTTTTCCACAGTGCCATCTCTATCTTGACCAGGTATTTAAACTTTTGTAAGTTCACCTTTCCTATTGAATGAATACAATAGCTATTTTTCTCTGTGTAGTTTATTCACTGGGACCTTTAAATTTCTTCTAAGAGAAATCTATCACTCATTGATTAATTTACCTGAGTAAAAAAAAATTCTTATATATAGACAAAAATACTTTTTTTATACTCATTAACTGCGTGTGATAATGTATTTATTCAATATTAATAATATATTTTCATTCAGTTTAATATAAACATTGATTCAATCATAAAAAGTTGATTTCAAACAAAAGTTTTATCAATGTGCCTATTGAAATTTGATTTTTTTTTGTCTAGTTATAGAATACATTTAAGAAGATCTTAATTTGAACATCATAATTTTCAAGTTTTTATTCATGTCAAACACATTTTTTTTTAAAAGGAACAATGTTGAAAGTTTTGTCAGAAATCAACTTTTTATGATTGAATCAATGTTTATATTAAACTGAATGAAAATATATTATAAATATATTATTAATATAACATAAATCAATGCTAACATGTTTAACCCCGCCACATTCTGTATGTATGTGCCTGTCCCAAGTCAGGAGCCTGTAATTCAGTGGTTGTCGTTTGTTTATGTGTTACATATTTGTTTTTCGTTCATTTTTTGTACGTAAATTAGGCCGTTAGTTTTCTCGTTTGAATTGTTTTACATTGTCATTTCGGGGCCTTTTATAGCTGACTGTGCGGTATGGGCTTTGCTCATTGTTGAAGGCCGTACGGTGACCTATAGTTGTTAATTTCTGTGTCATTTGGTCTCTTGTGGAGAGTTGTCTCATTGGCAATCATACCACATCTTCTTTTTTATATTTTATTAATGTTTCAACTTTGCATCACTGTTTACATTCAACCGATTGAAAATATATTATCAATATTGAATAAATATAACATCACATGCAGTTTTGAGTATAAAACTTTGATGGAGAGTTGTCTCATTGGCACTCATAGCACATCTTCCTATATCTATTTTCCTCTATTTACAAGATTTTTTTTTTACTCAGGTAAATTAATCAATGAGTGATAGATTTCTCTTAGAAGAAATTTAAAGGTCCCAGTGAAAAAACTACATGGAGAACAATAGCTATTGTATTTATTCAATAGGACAGGTGAACTTACAAAAGTTTAAATACCTGGTCAAGATAGAGATGGCACTGTGGAAAACTTTCTTTGGGTTCGCAATAACTTTAGTCATATTTTGTCTCTTTCTTATAGAAATTTCAGAAGATTTTTTTGAGGTGACAGAAAAGGATGTGAGAACAATGATGCAGGATTTACAAAAGAAAAAGTAAGAAAAAAAATTGTTTTTTTCAAATAAGAACAGATATAACATTAACAGTTCAACCTTTTTACATTTAAAAATAGATACTGTAGATTCATTTATTTTCGTGGGTACCAATTTTCGTGGATTGAGGAAAACTTGCATTTTTGTGGATATTTGATTTCGTGGTTTTGCCAAAGTCTGCATAGAAGACTATATGAAATTTGTTATTCGTTGAACATTTAATTTCGTGGTTCACCTGTAACAAAGAAATCCACGAAAATTGGTATCCAACGAATAATAATGAATCCATAGTATACTGTGGATTCATTTTTATTCGTGGTATACCAACTTTCGTGGGTTTCGTGGGTCACAGTGAACCACAAATTTAAGAATTCAACGAAGAATAATCCTGAGAAATGTGTATGGAGTCGGATGTTTATTTCCGGTTATGTTATGCAGTTCTAGTATAGTGATGACTAGCGATAAACATTGTAACATAACACATGTTTTTATTGAAAGAAGATACAAGTATTTTGATTAAATCAATAATAAATATATCGAATATCAGTGATAATTTACTTTTTAAAGGAGTATGGCCACGAAGTGCCGATATTGGCCCTTTGAGGTGACAAAAAATAAAAGAGAAATTAGGTGGATCCTTTATAGCTAAAACATATCTACGTATATCGTTATTTGTTATTATAGTATAAAATCATATTTATGTGACGTCATTAATGTGACGTAATACCCGGAATAAAACCGGAACGCATAAAATGTCAAAATTCTTAAACAAATTCACACTTCCTGGTTAAATTTCGCATTGGCCACAAGCCTCGACCAAAGTAATTTTACTCTTATGTTGATTGTTTGGCTTTTTGACTCAGTTTGCAACATTATTAGCGTGGTCGAGGCCTGTGGCCACATCGAAAATTTAACTTTTGCTAACATTAGTAACAAGCAAATCCTGATTCAACGCGGCCATTTCCGAAGTACGATAGATTCTGTGACGGAAAATAACTGTACCAAGAACTTGTACAATTGCTATAAATAGAATAAATACTATAATTTATTATTTTCTGATTTATAACAAACAAAAAAGAAGAAAATGGAATAACAAGTCTCTTTTTTTAGCTTCGTTAACTGCCAATCTGGCAAGGTTTTTAAACACGGATAGATTCATTCTCATAACTGTTTTTTATTAGAAAACAAGACAATTTAAGTGGTGGAAATAAAAGTTACGAATTTGCAAATTATTTTAAAGATCATTTCCACGTTATTTTGTAATAATTACCCCGGTCTGTGCTATGCAAACAAAAATATGAGTTTTAAATTAGAGCCGTAGTTTTTTTCCGTAAAATTCTATATCCAAGAGATCGATATGGGTGTCAACATAAAAAATCTAATTCAAGTTTCCTTTTAGAAACACGTATTTTGTTTTTTAATGACGAAATTGTCGAAATGTAACCTCAGCGGAATGTAATCTCATGTTGACGCTTTGATGAAGTGCTTTCTTTCACGTCCGCATTTTCTTTCATGTATGGCATGCCAAGTTAACATTTTAAATAATTACTACGGATGGTGTAAATGAATTACAGAACTATGAACAATAACATACATAGAAAATCGTAGGACATAAGAAGAAAGCACGTGAGAATTTCTTGTTTCATGTTTGAAATAGATTCTCTTAATTGCTCTCCGTCATAAATATGCATGAAGTATTTTCCACTGGACGCTCGTCAAACAACTATCAATCATATCTCCTCTAAAGTTACAGTACAATAATGACTTTAAACGTAATTAAATAAATAATTCAAGATTTAAATTTCTTTTGAGGAGATATTTACGCGTCTATTAATTCAGTTTTTTGGGAAAAAGAAAAAAAAAAAAGAATATTGAATAAAAATTACGATGCCATGAGAGGGCATGGTGTATAATGTCCGTAACATTCATCCAGAACAAATATTTAGTTTCAATGAAAACTGAAATAAAGATGAAACAAAACTGTCCGACACAATCATATAGCTTGGGTAACTTCAAATAAATATCTGATATTCACGCGTGATAGCGTGCATAATTGGGCGGAATGCATACAAGGAGCAATTGTTTATTTGGTCTCTTTTTGGTGGCCTCTTTAAAAGTTGAATGAGACTATGTTACAAGCGACCAACAAAAATGGCTGAATAAATCATCTATGAGATAACTTTATATTTCTGATTTTTTCGTTTCTTGTGATGGCCTGAGGTTTGTGTTCAATCTGTAGTTACCTGTTTTTATATTTTTGTTGCTGTTTTTTTTTTTTGTCCCCACTATATGTTCATGGTGTTGTATTATTTTAATGGTCATCTTATTCTTTGTTGCCCCACAACCCCCTTCTGCCTTTTGGATAATTTTCTCTTATGTTCAATGACAACACATGCAATTTCTTGTTTCCTGTTTGAAATAGATTCTCTAAATTGCTCTCCATCATAAATATGCATGAAGTATTTTCCACTGGACGTTTGTCAAACAACTATCAATCATATCTCCTCTAAAGTTACAGTACAATAATGACTTTTAACATAATTAAATAAAAGATTAAAAATTTTAAAATCTTTTGAGGAGATATTTACGCGTCTATTAATTCACTTTTTGGGGAAAAAGAAAAAAAAAGAATATTGAATATCAAAGAAACACACCACTTTACTACATGAGTTGTTTGTCTCATGATGATGGATGACTGTTTAACGTCCAACGGCAAGTTAGATGCATATTCCGGACAAGAACATTTAATTTGCGCACATTGCGTCTAGACTCTGGTATCTAGGGTATACAAGACATAATCTGGACATCACACATGGAGTCCAGAAATGAGGAGCTTCTCTTGACGATGCAGCATTTTATCCCACATGCCATGGACGAAAGTGACAGTGAGCAGAGTGCAGTTGAAGAATAGAATATTAATTTTAATTATTGTAAGGTAGCTGTCACATTGACGTTTATCTCAGTACTCCTCTTGCTCATCTTTTTGAAACCTATTTGTTTATATCATACTTTTTGCAACTAAGCAAATTTTTAGAAAACTCTTAAAACATTTAATATAACATATCCATGAGAAATAGTTCACATTTCATTTCACTTTAAAGAAAACAAACATTGTGGAGAGTTGTCTCATTGGCAATCATACCACATCTCTTTTTTATATATAGACGAAAATAATTGATCTTGTATATTAATTATAGTTATAGATAATAATTACTTGAATGGACGCAGCTTACATACACTTACATCGTTACAATCAACGCCAAATAAAAAAAAACTGATATTCATGGATATCTATTAGTTTTAAAATACATCCATATGGGCACGTCATTCGGTATCTGGTTGAAAGTTGTCTTCTTTGCAATAATATCACATCTTCTTTTTTTCATACGGATTGAGGCATGAATCTGTTTAATTTGACCAAATGATAATAAAAATAATAAGAAATTACACTTGAACTTTTTTCGAGATAAGAATGGTAGTTGTATGTGGAATACTGGAACACTTTAACCAAGAGCAAGACTATTTAAGATTACAAGATAAAAGCTAATTAAGAATAAATTGACAATTGTAAAACCTTATAAAAGAATTTCAGTTTAAAACTTAAAAGGGCATTAGTTGTCAAATTCATGTTTACCGATTTGACTCAAATTCTCATATTCGACTTATAACATACTAAAACGTATATTCACATTAAAAAAAGTGTAAAATAAACAATTTACGATGCATAGACTCGATAGTATGTATCAGCATTTCGTGTGTATTTTAGTCTAGACCCCATCTAATTAACCATTGAGGCGACCTTCTGAAGACTGCCGACGGTCATCTCACCCGATTTAAACATAAACAAAGATATGAATAGATAGCAAACTCGTGCAATTGGATTTTTCTAGGTCTGTTTCATTTGAAATTATAGGTTAAATCAATATCTTAATAATCGTTTTCACCTGTATAAGAATGAGTTTTTGTAGATCGAATCAGTCAACCAAATGGTTTACCCTTGTTTCACTTCCAATTCTTTTACTTTTAATACCTGAACATGCCTAGTTCATGCGTAACCCATCTCTAGCTAAGGGGTTCAATTGAAATTCACATGAATATGGATTTAATGATGTCGAATTATCCACTTGCAAGTGAATATTAAATTCATAAGCGATGTTTCTTCGCTTATTTTGACAGAACTGAACCAGACTGGCTGCTAAAAGCGAATTATTATTTCACTATTTCACTTTCATTAATGATTGAACAAAAAAAACTCTTTTTTTTTTTTTCCTCATAGCTAATGCCCCTTTAACATGTTTAACATGTTTAACGAGAACACGAATCATAAAATAATGAAAGTATTTGTTTTTTGAAAACGTAATTGAAAGAAACATGCAAAAGTCGGATAGATTTAATTCGATATAGCTAAATCACTAAATGGAATCGTCCACAATGGACAAATTTGAATGAGTATTCTGTCAAATGTTTGAGTTTTTAAAACTAGGCAGTGGCTATTTTGCCGCCGTCGGCAAAATAGAAATGTGCTATTTTGTCGTCTTTAATTAAAATATCTTAATTAAAACAAGCAAAATAGCATATTTCGATAGCAATGACTTAGTCTATTTTGTTGGCGCCGGCAATACAGTGAATTTGTTATTTTGGCGGTTCTTTGTAAAGAGTGAATTTTAATATTTACTTGTGAAAAACACTACGAAAATGTGCATTGTCAACATAAAAGAATCAAATTATTATTCGAAATATAGTTGAATAAGATAAATGTCACAATATTTGAGATAAAATTGTTTAAAAACATTTATGAGTTCAAGTGAAAATAAGAATTTGTAAAAAGGAATAAAAATAAAAACTATTGAGCATCCATTTGTAGCAATGAAATCATATCAAAACATGTAATTGAAATTACTTCTAAGGTCAGTATAATGCTACATGTATGCATCAGAATAAAATCTCAGATTTTTAAACTATGCTGTACAAAAAATGAAAGACAAAAATCTCATAGCATATTG